GCGTCTGCCACAGATACCCGTCTGTTTGCCTGCATTTGCGGAGGCCGTCTGGACGCAGGCAATTTCGGTATCATCCTGCTCATGGAGTGGCCACCACTCCACAAGGCTGCATTCTTGTTGTGACAAGGAATAGTGGAATCGTGCGCGAGAGTGGTCGTGGGGTTGGCAGTAGCAAAGATTCCCACGGATTTTGTACACCTTTGTTCTCTTGTGCCTTCTCTGTGTTGGCATGCTTGGGCATCTGTGATATACTGTAGCCGAAATTATAATAGAATTCCAGGTTAAACTTCTTTGTATGTGCGCACACAGAAATAAATATTTTCAAAATTTGCTAAGCTTCGACGAAGATGTACGGCGTGTCTGCGCTTATCTGCACTTGCTGCATCGGTACCGCTGCTGCAGCAAGTTTTCAGCTTTTTGGACGCCACAGATTAAACTCTCGAACACCCGATAAAAGCTCGTCTGACCTATTCGCGTGGGTGATAAGACACGTCTGCATAACCGGGCTTTAAAAGAATAGATCGTAGTCCTTCCGCGGGGCCGCCTTAATAGCTTCAAGATAATGTGCGGGATTCCCATGCGGCAAGTTAGGATCCCGCTCATGGTGCCCGCAGAGGCTTATGCGGAGCGCAAATTTGTCTGCTTCTTGCTCAGGAGTTGCGATGATGTCCGTCAGGATGCGAAGTTCTTATCGGCTGATTGAAAAAAAATAGTGGGTAAACCTCAAGGCATCTAGCATTGAGGTCTACCCACTATCCTTCCAATCGGAGCTCAGCGTCAGTCCGACGTCACTGCAACCCCTGCTCGAGAAGCACACTTGCTTTTTGCAAAGAAGGCTCCGTTTAACCGAGCTTTCAGTTGCACGGCAAGAGATCCTCTGATGGTCGGAATTGATTCTCAATGCGCTGCCGGGGTGTGCCAGGCACCCTTCGTCAGTTTGGCACGTAAAAACCCCGAATTCAACCTTTTGCATGCGTGGAATGCTTAGTGAAGTTGGTCTATTATTACCTGGAAATTTGCCTCGATGCCGAAGGGCCCGGGCACACCCATGAAGCACGGTGCACGACGGCATTTCCTAAATTTCTCATTAACAGTGATGGAAGTGCTGCACCAATTTGTGCCAATTTGCGCCATGAACGAAAGCCTGCTGCATCCTGCGTCAAAATGCCAATTTCGCTAAGAATTGCGCCGCACCCACACCGAGATGGGCTTAAAGCAAAAAAGTTAATATTTTACTATTGGTTGACTAATTTTCACGAAAGTAGAAGGAAAGAAAAATGGTACGAATATGAATTTCACAGCGTCTCTACTCACCGTATAGTTTGTTTCATCTTATGTCAGAGCACAGTCGAAGGCAGAGATACTAAAAGTGCAACTCACGGGACATTCGCTGCACTTGATTGGTTCAGCCAATAAAATTACACATACAAGGAGGGGACAAATGCCCCATTGTCCTGCTTTGAGGCTGCGAATCAACCAGCCAGAGCCGTTGATGCTGGACATCAGCCTCTCTGGCTGTTTGATCGCCAGCATTATCTCAATTTCCAGTCGATTTCGGGTACTAAGAGTCCCGGGAAAACTCTTATTAAAAAATAGCAGGATTGCCGATTGGGCTACTTTAATAAGACTAGGGATGTCGCGAACCACTCCAGGTTCGAATTCGAAACGTTTCAATATTTTGGAACCAAACAGGTTCGAATTCGAAAAGTTCGAAGTTGTCACGGTTTCTAAAAGTTTGGGTTAGAATATTTCAAATACCTTTTTACCTGAGGTTCGAGAAATTCAAAGATTTCGAACTTTCCTAATTTTAAACTCGAGATTAGAAAAATTTGAGTTTCTTGAGATCTTAATTTTTTAGATTTCAAATTTCTTTGAATCTGAAGTTCGAAATATTCGAAGATTTTGAAATTCTTTGGATGAAAAATTCGAACACTTTAACTTTTTATAGACATAAAGTTCGAAACGGCCAGGGGCGGGCAGGAGGTTGAGGCTCAGAAAAACCGTTTTTCCCCACCCCCTTACACGCTGGTAGTAATCCGATCGAACGCCGCCCGAGTGACGCTGGCATATAGTAAGTTAAGTTTGTAATAGTTCTGGAGGTTTATTTTCCCGGACGGAGGAAACACCTCACAAAAAACACAGAAGCCGACACAACTCGAGGTCGAGGAGAGTTCTGCCGTACCAGTGGCGTCGGAAGATGAAAAACTGGGGAAAAAAGGGGATGGGGGGGGGGGGGGGGGGGGGGGGGCGGAGAGGCTCCAGATCCCAGATATTTTGGACTGTTAAAGAAAACTACAAGAACATCCGCATGTTCGAGCTCATTTTAATCTGAAATTATTTACGCATATGTATAGCTACTGTCGCTCTTCACTGCACAAAAGATCGCGTAGATCAGGGGTCTCAAACATGCGGCCCGCGACTCGGTGGGACGCGGCCCGCAGGCAACCGGCTACGCGTCTTGATTCCCATGTGTCGAGCGCTAGAAATGGCACGCGCTGTATTGATCTCATTCTGCCGATTCATTTTCTCTCGAAATGTCGCTCTGCTCTTTCAACGTATTCACACAGTTTTTACTTATCTGTGTTCATTTAACCTTTCTTTTGCTTTATCTTATGGGGTGAGCTTTTTGTAATGCACAACAATTTCAGTACTCTGCTGCAAGCACGAGCTTTTTGTTGAAAAATGCATATCGGCTGTGCAAACTCTCAATCAGCAGAAGGAAGTGCCAAGAAAGAAAGCTACAAGCTCGGGAATCTCGCCTTAAAAAAAGAAAAAGAAGAAAATATCACCATTAAAAGACAAGTATGGGTGTTGTAACAGAAATCGTCAGGAAAGCAAAAGCTGCCAAATAACTTGTTGTTTTTTAGATAAATGTTCAGCTTGGTTAATTCGTGAGTAAATGGAGCAACAGAACGACTGTGTACTTGCTCTTTTGTTCTATTAAAAATGCTAGCACATTGTTATCCCATCTGATCACGTCCCAAAGTAGTCATATAAAGAAATCACATCTAAAAATTTCACTGACAAAACTGAGTTTACAAAAAGCATAGAGAACGAGGTCTGTTCAATTTTAAATCGTTTGACTCCCCCCCCCGGTCGAACGTTGGCCCACGGCCTTCCCAACGTCTGCTATCTAGCCCCCATGCTCAAAAGAGTTTGAGACCACTGGCGTAGATGGTCATTGTCGGAAACTCGTCAGAAGGCACTACTCGTCGCATGCTTAGTGGTTTAAAAGTTCAAAGCTATGTCTTTCCAACTTAAATAACTGTGCTATTGGTAAAAATTAAAAAAAAAATAATAATAAAGAAATAAATGTGAAAATAAAAAGCTGGAAAAAAAACAAACTATCAAGAACCTGCCGGGAGTGTTGTATTCTTGCATATTCAGAGTCTCAGAACTTCATAACAAGTTGCTCCTTCCAAAATGTGTACAGGCTAAAAGAAACACGTCCCAAAAACGTAAAGCAAAAAAAAAAAAAAAAAAAAAAAAAAAATTTTTATAGACGGGCTGAACTTGAGCAATATTAGAAATCTTCCCCCATGAGTTAATTTATTCCTCAACGTGAAAAAAAACATTATTTTGTATTCTGCAGATGGCAATGATATGTACTGCCTGTGGTGTTAATTTAAATGTGATACCTCAAACAATTCAGACAAAAAAATTAACAAATTTAGGGCATAATTGCCTGCAGATACACATTTGGAAATTTCTCCGAAACTCATCTTGATTAACAATAATTACATCTTAAGACGACATTTACCTAGGCTATACATAGATCATTCTTAAAAAAGTTTAACATCTCTATCATAAATAGCTTCGGCCATAGCGCGCTTCAAATGTGGCACAAACAACAATCGTCAAAAACCCATCGTCTTTCCTCGCTCCTCCGGGAATTTATTTCTTTAAAACTAAGCATGCCAGAACATTGAAATAAACGGCATTGTCTTTCGTAAGGAACACGGCACCGCATGTAATAATTATAGAACAAAAAATTACGAATGTACCTCACTACTTGAATGCTGCAAAATTAGGGCTTGTCGAACTTTCGAACTTGATAAACCAAAAAGATGATGAGTTTCTAACTTATTTATCTCGAGAATTCAAAAAGTTTTATAACTTTTGAATCCTTACAAGTCAAAAGTTCGACGAACTTCATACTTTTACCCTAAAAGTTCGAAGTTTGTCGAAGGGGAGGGAGGAAGAGGAGGACGGGGAGGGAGGGAGGGAGAGACGATTTATTCCAATGAAGTTTTGCGCTATGATTCACTTTTCAAGCATTTTTTAATACCAGTTATAAAATAAACGTGTACCTTTTACACCCTATCTATTTTTATCGCAAACAGTAATAAGTAATAAGCTCAAGTATTAAGGAGGATCTCTTGATCACTATCATAAATGAACTCATTTAGAGGTGCGAAAACTTTTTCATTCTCAAGTGGTACGCTAACGGATGTTGGCATCTGCTCCAAAAGCATAGGTGGCTGCTCCAAACCAATACTTTGCCTGTTACAGAACTTACTACAAAAAGTCAAATGCTGCTTCCTTCACTGCTTTAACAATTGGCCAAATTCTGTAAGAAAAGAGTCGCGAAGGATCGCGATGTCACATTGTTGCGTGACATTTGATGTCGCATGACACCACGACTTTGTATAATGTCACAAGGTCACCTGACCCTGTGACATCACACAACATCGTACTGTGCGATGGTATGTGACGTTGCAGTCACGTGACCTTATGGCTTTGTGCGACATTGCACGGCTAGCCTGATCCCAGCTCTTTCAGAACACGTTTGGTGCTCCCCAGTCTTCATCAGCGCGGTCCTTGTCGGCGCGATCGAGCTAGCGTAATTGTGCCTCTCGTGTCGTCTTTACTTTAGAGAGGTTCCTTCGAACCCCATGACGACAACCCTCGGCAGTTTCTCGCGGCGTGCCGTGTGGGGACGCCCGTCGGGCCGCCGCCGTCGGAGGGCGATTGGGGTGACTGGCTTGGTGATGATGCAGTGCGAGGATGCCGCCCTGGGAAGACGGTGCAGCTGACGGAGGCCGAGGTGCGTGGCCTCTGCCTCAAGTCGAGGGAGATCTTCCTCAGCCAGCCCATCCTGCTCGAGCTCGAGGCACCCCTCAAGATCTGTGGTGAGTGCGGCACGACGGAAGTTTGTGGGCAGCCGGCAACGTTTTTAGATTAGCTCAGTTACGGAACTGCTCATAGACGCTGCTTGCATGAGCCGTACCCCCCTCACTCGCCATGACTCTCCTCCCGTCGTTCGACGTGCCAGACGGCTCTTATGGTAACTGCAGTGTGTTCTGTGGAGTATGTTCGTTTCGAAGCCCAGCATCTAGATGGCGTTACGGCTCTGTTCTGTGGAACACAGTTTCGAAATTGAAATCTAGATGGCACTTCAAACGACGGGTGGGACACGGTAGGGCGTCGTAAATGATATCATTTTGGTTTCGCATCTGGAAGGCTTCAAAATACCCATTAAAGGGACCATGAAATGATTTTAAAATCTAATTTCATCCACCGCACGTCGTAAAAGGTGTGAAAAGAAACACAAAAACACAAAACTAGGGAGCCAAAAAAAATTATTTGCTATAGAACTTTTAAAAGAAAACTGGACTCTTTTGTGACTTCTTTCCTTCGAAAGCTCTGCCTTTTCACTACGATGCCTCCGCAGAAATGGAGTACGTCAGCCGAATCCACGTCGCCTATTGGGTAAGAGCCTACCTCACCAGCACCGCGATCGTAAACAATAAATAGCCGGCGAATGTTTCCTAAAAGTTTTGTTAAATAATATTCAGACCCACATTTTGTAGCATAATTAGAGATGTGTGGCGAAAATTGCCAAATTTGATAATGCTGAGAGCCAAGCGCCATCTATCGTGTGGTAAACAAAGCAACTACTGCGCGTGCGCAGTAGGGCAGGGCTGGCAGGGCCTTCCTCTCAAAACTCTGACTGACTGAACGTTTATTTTTCTACGTGTTCATCTCGCGCGTGCCGACTTCAAGCAGCAAGAAAAAAATGTACTTAAAACAGACCTCGACGAACAAGAACGCTGGATCCACAAACACCCGAAATGAGCGACAACAGCCGCGAATCGCGCTCCGACGAAGCTCTCCGAATATAGGCCTAGCGGGCACTCCGACTCGGCGCAGCGTTGCTTCGTCGCAAGACCGTCTGTCTGCCTGCGACCGGCTGGCGTGCTGAATGGAATATGCCCGCGCTACCCTTGTGGGGTACCCTTGTGGACCCTTCCCGTATAATAGTTTGATCGCTGACCTCAATTTTACGTTAAGAGGTGAGGTCAATCTCTTCCCCTTGTTTTCCGAGGCAGTGTTGACGAACACTCGTCGAAAAGGGACCCTCGTCGATTCTCTCTTCTTGTTTTGTGTGATATAGAGCTGAAATAAACGCTGTATGGATTACCTTCTTAACACGGTATGTACACTTTGTTATTGGTATGCCATTTTTATCCTGACAGACTGCACGTCACTGTCGAGCTGTAACAGTTCGTGAGAGGTATACGTGCAATACCGGTCCAACCTTTCTTTGCCGAGTGTCGCGTCAGTATCGAGTTGCAATCGTAAAAGATCGGTCCCGAAGCGCTTACCAACAGCGCGAATACAGTAAAACCTACCGGCGCACTTCAACTCGTCGCCGCTAATGCTCCCATCTCCTACTGCCGAGAGAAGTTCCGGTTCCGGAAATAGCGTACGTCACGGCTTGTTTTGCGGTCAAGAAAAAGTCGATATTTCATTAATTTTTTGTGTAGAAGTTAATAAACCGAGACGAAAACGGATGCCTGTTCGGCATTCAGTGAACATTGACGGTTTAATGTAAAAGTTATCTGGAAAAAGTAAAAAAGTCATTTCATGGTCCCTTTAAGGAAGCGGAAAATGAAGGTTATTTTGGAACCAGCGTCCGTGCTTTTCGGCGGTGGAACGTCGCGTGTTGTGTAATTTGCGAACCAAACAAGCAGTAAAATCAGAATATTAGGCTTTTTTTTTTTTTCTCTCCTTGTGCAAGCGTTTTGTTATTTCAATTGACATCGTGAAACTTGTTCTAGAACACTGGGAACAAGCTGTACCGCCCCTGCTACAACATTCGATGTCACATTTTCAGTGTTGCTAAAGAGTCTCAATCTCTCGAATCAAATTTCAAAATTTAGTAGCCTCGCAAAAAAAAAAAAAAGTTATTGTTACTTGTAATTTGGGTGACTATAATCCATATTACTAGCTGTGCGCAGTGCTCTCAATGCCACGGACGGGAGGCAGAGAGAAGCCATTTCTGTAAACATTTTGAGTGACGGGCTGCTCTCCTGAGGTGTGAAAAGCAATGTGGGGAAAACACGAGGATCCGAGTAAGAGTGGAATTTCTCCTTTCCTTTTTCTTCAACTGCTAACGTTTCAAAGTCACCCCTGTAGATTTGGTAATGCTGCGTGCACCTATACTCGTCAAATGAAGAAGAAAAAAAGTTTTGCGCATTGCTGCACAAAGCAGTTCTCGCAAGATTTGCTTCTCAGGGGACAAAAGGATTCCTTTGGCATTGAAACGTGTACGTCTTGGTAAAGTAAGATATGGCCAATGTCGAATGCACCTACATATATCCCAATTCACCGCGTAAATGAGGAAATTAGTTACGCTCTGCGTATGTCGGGATTTTTTTACTGCAGTTCTTGAGGCGAATGCAAGTATAGTCAGATATAGTTCAGAGTTGTCTATTAACGTGTTGAATCATTTTTGATTCAAATCATTGACTATCAAATTTTCGGCGGAGCTGCTCTCTTTTGATGATCTCCGGTTCTTCGAGCCTCATGCACACCTTTCAGTCACTGGTACGCAACGTGAACCGAAACTCCTTTGTTCCTTAAAACGGGACACTGAAACGAGGCTTCGTAGGCCTGATTCCATGAGACAAACGAGTGCAGTACAAAGGGGTGCATGTGCAGGGGACATCCACGGCCAGTACACGGACCTGCTGCGGCTGTTTGAGTACGGGGGCTTCCCACCCGAGGCCAACTATTTGTTCCTGGGGGACTATGTGGACCGGGGCAAGCAGTCCCTGGAGACCATCTGCCTCTTGCTGGCCTACAAGATCAAGTACCCCGAGAACTTCTTCCTGCTCCGGGGCAACCACGAGTGCGCCTCCATCAACCGGATATACGGCTTCTACGACGAGTGCAAGCGGCGCTACAACATCAAGCTCTGGAAGACCTTCACCGACTGCTTCAACTGCCTGCCTATCGCCGCCATCATCGACGAGAAGATCTTCTGTTGCCATGGGGGTGAGCTGCAGGCCCGTTGTTGCGCTTGCGTTAAAGCCCCTCGATGAAATTTGTGTTTATTTCCAATACCGACAACCGTGGTTGTGCGAAAGTGTGGTGCAGAGACTATAGAGATATGCATTATATGCATTCATTGGCTTGGGCCTATTGATTTCGAGCTGCGTGAGGCTCGAGCTGGGATTGAGGTGTAAGTGCTAAACATCCTGACCATGGCAAAAGTAGAAAATTGATTTTAGGAGATGCAGTAATCCCCCTAAACATTTGAAAGAGTAGTTGAACCTAAGTGCAAGTTATAATGCAAAGAATGCCAATGCAGGTGACGGGCAGCAGGTATTGTTTTGCACAAAGGCAGCTCTGCCACACAATAAGGAGTATTTCAAAGTTTCAGGTTCACAACGAAAGGGCACCTGGCTTTTTCCCTAACAAGAACTTGTTCTCTTTTTATAAAATGCTAGGAGCCAGCCATACAACCATTCTGGCCTAAAAAAAAAAAAAAATAATAATATATAGAAAAGAAGATGGACGCGAGTAGGGCTCATGGTTAAAATAAGAGTCGTGTTTGGGCCGTGTTCGGGCCGAAATACTCGTCGGTTGGGTGGGGGCTGACACCCACAAACCATAGTCGGACAAGTCAGGTTCAAGTCAATATTTGATCGGGTCGGGCCCTCAAATTCCGGCCCCATCCGATCTCCAAACACAAGCCACGAGAGTTTGCCCGAAGAACAACATTCCATCTTGATATCTCATTTCAACACCGTATTGCTAATCGCTACCAAGAGCTGTGCAGGGCACAGACCTCGTGCTTTGGTGCATATGTCGTTGCTTGCAAGGCCGTCACGAACACGTCAGAAGGGCTTCACTCACATCTTCCTGGCTCAGATAAGCAGGCGGGTGCGCCCGTCGGGTGGGTTTGGGCTGAACTGGTTTTGAGTGAACTGGAAGTTCTTAGGTGTGTCTGCGTTGGCTCATTTTCTAGCCCCGTCCTAATGCTGGTGGAATTTGCTTTCTTTCCAGGTCTGTCACCCGACCTTCAGTCCATGGAACAGATCCGCCGTATCATGAGACCCACAGACGTTCCGGACACGGGTGAGGCTCTCTGGGAGTGATCTGCGTGCGCCCTGCCGATTTTCGGAAGCGGTTGTGTTAGGGAGACGGACTGGTCATTGTTTTCTTTATCTCACTGCTGTTACAGTCTACTCCTGGGAATTCAAGCTGGAAAGGGATGAATATGTTCGTTTGAATCTTAGAAAGATTTTGAGGCCACGGGAGGCCTACAATGAGAGGGTGCTCCATGCATCGCCCTACAGAGCAGCGCTTCATGAACTGTGCTTGGCTCATAACCGTGGTTGCTTTGCTGGATCGAGCATTGCGATGGAATTCTAATATGTCAAATAGAGATGCACTGACCTCTGGAGGGCACTCGGGAGTGAAACCTGATTTTAGCCAACATTTGCGTCCTGGGTGTTTTTCTGAGTATCCGCTTCCTATCGTTTTCACCTCTTAGTAAAAAAAAAAAAAAGGTTTGGTTGCTCACGGAGCATTACTAATTTCCCCCCTTATGTAGAGAATTGAGATATATGTAAGTGCATTTTACATCATTAGATATATGTTATCTTGTCAAGACATACACTTTTCAAATACTGAAAGCCTTGCTTCTTCCTCCGACATCCAAGTCTTGCAAGAATTACTTTGTGCAACATACGAAGATTTCACAAAAATTCATTTTTTCTTGAGGTGGAAACAAGTGTAGATGGTCTTCTGAGTACCCTTTTGCCTCCTGAAAAGGGGCAACCTGGAAAAAATGGCTCCAAGATCATGAGTTTGACCCTTCGTGGACTTAAAGGGCCCATGACACGAATATGGTTGGGATAAATCATTTTAGATTGGGATTTTATTAATAGCACATCATTCAGTGGGCTAAAAAAAAAAAAAAAAAAGGTAAAAAGTCAACAGCCTGTTTTTCAGTGCAAAAATTTGAAAACATAGCGGACTATTTCGTACCTCCTCCCCTTCGTGAGCTCTCTGCCTTTTCACTGTGATACACCCGTGGTCCCAAAAGCGCGTCATTGGGTCCAAACGCACGTCACACGAAACCGGACCTCACTCATGATCCGAACACACTTACATTGTGGTGGAAGCTACGCACTTGCCAGACCAATCAGCCGCCTCCCTTTCATCACCTGACCTTATTCTCTGCGCGTGGGTATACGCGAAGGAGTGGCAAGGAAGGACAGGGCAAAAGTGTGCTGGCCAACGAGCACGTAGCTTCCACAGCACTGTCAGCTTCGGGGGAACGGGTTTGGGAAAGCAACTTTTGTCTGAATTTTGAGCGACTGGCTAATCTTCTAGAGGGACAATGGCTCTGTCCGGGTACACAAACCAGATTCCGAGAGAGAGGGGCCTCCCCTCTTTTCGTTTTCCTGAACTGTTTGGTGGAATGTGCAACTTATGAGTTGAGGAGGAAAGCTGAACAGGAAAAAGTTGAAAAAGCGTTTCATGACCCCTTTAAAAAATTGTATTGTAGTGCAGTTATTGAGACATCTATGTTATGTTATATTTCTGACCACAACGACCGGTCACTTTAGTGTTGTTTGTTGTGTATAGAAATTGGCAGTTGTGATCACCAATTTTCATTGCCAGTTGTGATATATCCGCTTACAGCCAGGGCAGACAGACACATTTTATTCATGATCCCATTTTTGTGCTGTGTACAGAAGAAAAATGCAGATGTAGCCTTCATTGACAATGCATGCAGTGATATGATACATAGAACATACCCCTGCGGACAATATGAGCTGCAACTTCCACTTCGGTTTTTCTGCGTCTGCGATCCCCACAGCTTTCCGTTATTTCTTGACCTGTCGTAGAGTTCGAAGAATAGGACCTAAGCTTTGCGTTCCATCGAACAGTTTGGTCTTTTTCGGAAACTTGACGGTACGTCAAAAAAGATAGAGGACTGCTGCTGCTTACATCGTCTGCGACACTACCACATTGGTACACGTAAATAATCAATTAAACGTTTCGTTCCAAAATAACTTTCCTTAATGGGACACCTAAGTAATAAAATGCTTTTTACCTGGAAAACGAGAAAAGTGAACGCAATATCTATGCCATGAGCATACCTGCCAACTCTCCCGAATTGTCCAGAAGCCTCCCGAATTTTTATCAGATCTCCCGATTGCACGAACACGTACTCAAATCTCCCGAAAAGTGGCTGCCGTAGGTTTTTCTTCATCTTTATGACACCCTATCGCTATAATCACGCATGTGTCAGTGCGATAGAGTTACTTGAGAGTAGGTTTAGGTTACTCCGGCGGGTTACCACGTGACAACTCGGAGCAGCAGCTTAAAACGAGGTAGATTTTCAAACGCCAAGGCACTAAACCTCTTTTACCGAGTAAGTTTGAGCGCATATTGGAACACGGCTTGTATGATCAAAGGTGTGCTAGGCTGCCCTTGGCTTTGTCAGGTCGTCGAATGAAGTCCAGAATGCCGAACTACTCTTTGCGTTTCCCCGAGTTTAGTTAAAACGATCTAGGGCGCTTTCAAAAGCCAAGCAGAAGTACTTGTAAGTATTACTGAGATCATACACGACTGAGATTACATGCTTTGTCGCTTCGCGGAAAGCTGTCAAGTATGGATTTTGTACTACGTGTGCCTGTGGTGTGAACATTTCGCACTGTGGCGAGCCCGATATCATGGTACACATTGCTTCACAAAAGCATCAGGACCATGTTCGTGCCGTAGAAGGGCAGGGCCTCCATCGGCAGTTTCCTCCAAAGCAACTGCGAAGACAGTGTGATCCGTGCAGAGTGCCTCTTCACAAAGTTTCTTGTCAAACTAAAAAAAAAATGTTTTTACCCTTCCTTCTCCCCCTCCGCACAGTGGTCTCCCGAATTTTTATATTGCTAGGTTGGCAGATATGCGTGAGGTGCGATTCGACAGAGCCATACAAGCCTGTCTTCCCCTCCATTTGTGCCTTGCCCACCTTTTTGTGGCAAGAGGAGACTTTAGCTTGGCATGACTATTTTTCTTTTTTTTTTCTCAAAGGTTTGCTTTAGTGGTGGAATTCACCTTGTAAACATTTTAAGGCATAGCTCTCTTCACGTGACTGAGACAAAGATACTTGCCACTGTCGATGATGGACGACAAGTAAGCTAATAACAGTCATGCTTGCGACGCCTTCTTTCGACAGGCGCAGCAAGCAGGCGACGCACTCCACTGAAGGCGGACAACGTGCTTGTCTGATCGCACTCCGTCGTCTGCGTTGTCACCTGCATTGTCATCTGTCGTTAATCGTGTTCCTTGAATTGAAGAACAGACTGAAGTAGCGGAGCCCCCTATTGAGAGTAGCGCTCTATCGTCCTCTCCCTCCCAGGGCTGCTGTGTGACCTGCTGTGGTCGGACCCCGACAAGGACGTCCAGGGCTGGGGGGAGAACGACCGTGGGGTGTCATTCACCTTTGGCGCAGATGTGGTCAGCAAGTTCCTCAACAGACATGACCTCGACTTAATATGCAGGGCACACCAGGTGAGCGGTCTCTCCTCCCGCCGCACTCTGACCTCTTTCTCGTTATTTGTATGTTTTTTTTTTATTTATGCAAAGAGGTGCTACTGTTTGACAAAACTCTCGGAGGCCTGTGCATGCTGCCGACAACTTCGTCGAAGCGGCGGGACAAGTCTTACGCCTTTGTCGTGGAAGCTTACACACAGCGAGTTGTCGCCAGCGTGCTCAAGCCTACGAGAGTTTCGTCACAGTCGCACATCTTTGCAACCGTACAAAGAGGTGCGACTTATACAAATATCTGTCACTTGTATACCAACTTTTCCACGAAACTGGCTCAATATACAGATGTGGGACTTATACAAGGGTGCCAGTTATAGTCCGGAAAATATGGTTTGTCTAAGCGGGCTTAAAAAAGCTGTCAATAGTGCCTTGCTTCTTGTTACATCTGCGCATCTTGCTTCAGGTTACTCCTCTGCTTACGTTTGGCTACTTTCTGTTAGCTTGAGAATCGCTGCCTTCTTTTCTAGTGTTATGGTTGAGTACATTCTGCGCTTCTTAGCGACACTTCGCGGCGGCGAAAGGACAGATGGGGCCACGACGTTTAAGCCAGCGTAGTTCGAAAACACGATTCACCAAAAGAAATGAAAGGCACAAGTCCAATAAGTCCACGACTGCAGAATGGCGAATAAACAAAGCAAAATGGTAAAAATGATGATAATGGATAATGCCGCGCAGCTAAAGAGAAGAAAAAAAAAAAAACCTTGCATAGCGTCACCATGCGGTAGCAGTATTCAATCGAGTAATGCTGCCAAACCAAGTCGATCCATGTGCAGCCAACATAGAATCTAAAATGGCAGCTTCTCGGTAGTGTTTCCCGCTGATCGCTCGCGACGATTTTGTCCGAAAAGTCAGACTTTGGGACTTCAAACTGACCGATATATCGGTCGTAATTATGCACTATTTCTATTCGCGACTCCAGCTGTCTGTAGGTGATTCCACTCGTTTTCCAAAATGGCGGTTATAGTGGGGGTCAGAGATGTGTGCTGGTATACCAGTTGCTGAACCCTGTCTGGATTGCTGGCTTCACTGAGCGACACAAATTATTCCCGCTTATTTCATTTCATTTATTATGCTCTCAGGGCCCGAAGGCATTACAGAGAGGGGTGGAAATATATACATCAATATAAGGTGCACAATAAAAACAAACAAAACACAAGGTACAGAATCGCTATGGAACATTGTTAAGAACATCAGTTATGGCGGTTTTAAAATCAGCAGCGTCAGTAAGGGATACTACGGATGCGGGAAGGCGGTTCCAGTCGACGGAGGTCAGAGGTAGGAAGGAGGCAAAAAAGGTGGAAGTGATGCAGTAGGGGATTCCTACTTTTAGTGGATGATCGGTGCGCGGCGATATGTATGATGGTTCTGAAATTAATAAGGCTCGAAGTGCTGGGTTAGAGTGATAAATTTTGTGAAATAAGCAGAGGCGAGCTATTTTTCTACGAAAGGAGAGGTTGGGCAAATGTAGAGACGCTTTCATGGAGGTGACGCTGGCTGTACGATGATAGTTAGAAAGTATAAAACGTGCGGAGCGATTTTGAATGGATTCAATGGATGATGCTAGGGATACGCCAGGGTTCCAGATAGAGCTTGCATACTCAAGTTTGGTGCGCACTAAAGTTTTATATAGGAGAAGTTTAAGTGAAACAGGGGGCAAGGGAAAAGTTTCTTCTGAGATAGCCTAATAAGCGATTAGCGTTGTTAGCAATTAGCGTTGTTAGTTACGAGGACGCTAGGGTGTTGTGCGCGCAGGTAAATTCTTTATCCTGGAATCAAAAACGGCATTTAGCGTAAAATTCACGCCAGGAGGCACGTTTTCATCCGGGAACGAAACCGAAACTGACTTTCATTTTGGATTGAATTTCTTTATATAGTTGTTAATTTCGGTTTATCACCTAACTCAAGATGCTTCTCATAGTGTAATTCTTAAGCTAAAGAAAATGTTCACGGAAACTTTATTTTGTGATGTACGATTCCGATCCAGGCACTTTAAACGGACACTGTTCAGTGTCCCTTTAAAGACACTGCAAGGTCTTTCTTACAGCTTGGAGCTAACATAAAATATTGAATTTGTTGAACAAAAATCTATGCTGATATTTTTGTGTTACTGCTTGTCACTCAGATAATTGTCATGTAAAATAATGGACTGTGGGCCTTTAATGGGTTCTTGGGCATATAAATGAGTTATAGACAAATCTCACCAAGCGTTCGGCGCATGTGTGACGCCGCCATAAAGCGCGAAACACATGTACGACGAAACCGTCCGATCCGACGTGCGGACTGCCGCAATGACCTTGGGGGGAGGGGGTTTTCGTAGCATCGGAGAGCGTTGAAAACCCTCGCCTCCGACCGTCGTATTGCGCGGTTGGACGTCGGATCGGACAGTTTAGTCGTACATGTGTTTCGCGCTTAACTTCAGTTCATAGGAGGCAGGCAGCAGTGCACAAGACGGCTCGTGCCGCCCCATGCTCCACAGGTGCAGAGCTCCAGCGAGGTTGTTGCACGTGCAGAAAGACTAAAGCTCCCTCCATGCATTGCGGCAGCGGTGGCGTAGTCAAACTGGCTGGTGAGATCGGTCTATTGCTTTAGCATTTATTCTAAGCACAAGAGTAACAAAGTCCAAATTTTAGAAAATGGGTGATTAATTTAGAATACGTTCACAAAACATATAAATTAAGAAACTGTTCTCGCAACAAAAACCTAAAAACAAAATCTGAGTTGGACAGCAAAAGTGTATGTTTTTAAGACAATGCGTGATGTATAGGACTTTATATTAATCCTGTGTTTATGTCTATCTTGAGAATGATTTCAGAGTTTTTCGTATGCTGAAAAGAAAACTGATACCCTCTGTAAAGACTGTTATGGTTGTACTGCATTGGCTAAATTTCTCAGGCAAGTCGCCTGTTGAGGCAGACTAAGTTCTAGGCTGTATAAGCACACACACACCCCAATTTGTTTAAAGGCTATCATGGTTAAATGGCGTATTATTGGGATTGAGGTGTAGCCGACATTACGGCAATTTGTATTATAATGCGATTAAGATATTTTAATTCATAGTTTTTCAAGCTCTAATATAATTTGTTGCTTATGATCTAATTTCAAACGTGCAAACATCTATGGCAATCCAAAATTGGAAAAGTATCATCACAGGTGCCAATTGTAGCATTTTTAATTAACAAGTTATAAAATAAGAATAGGCTAAAATAAACTACATTCTCGCTAGTCTGAGAAATTTGTGTAAAATAGCAATAATTCTGATTAAAGCATAAGGTGCTATCACAGTCGTGACTTTTCACAATCTGCAAAACTTCCGAAGTCGCCACGAATCCTTCTGTGTCAAATGCCCTGAAATACAAAAAGACAATTTTCCCGCTAAATCTAGCGGAGAAACTGAATTTGTTCTCTAAATACAGTGGAGAAACTGAATTTCCTTGCTAAATTTAGCTGGGAGTTGAATTAGTGTTGAGCTAACGTGACATTGATTTTCCTGTGAATTTTAGCGTGGTTACGCCGACGCTGCTCAACCCGGAAACGGGTGCCTAAGAGCTACGCTCTAAAACAATGCAGTGGACCATGTTTTTTGCATTGCAAAGATGAACCTCACATTGCTGGAAGTACAGGCTTTGCCAGCAGATGGAATACCCCATTTCCTTGCGCCTGCGCCTGTTTACGAAAGAGGCCTCCTCGTCCGTTTTTCATGGAAGCAGACGCTGTAGCTAACCACTGATTTCCAGGCGACCAGCAAATGGGCCAGACGTCTTGTTTTGTGTTTCCCATCTGCTTGTTACTACCGAATGTAGATGGCAGCATAGTTACGGAGAGACAGAAGTTACAGTTACGGAGAGACGGAGTCGCTCCATCTGCTTTTGTTTAATGGCTTCCCCTTGTAGGTGAAGTCACTATAAATGCAGAATTGCATTCTTGCTGTGGCTAACTCCGGTTTAGCCTTGAATGGTGAAGCACGCCACGGTCGAAGAGAGCTGACCGGCTGCCAAACACCTGCTTCACAGGCCACACTTTGCAACTGTTGAAGAAAAAAAAAATGAAAACTGAAGAGGCAGGAGAGAGGACTCTGAGACTTTTTGAGAAGACTCCTAGACTCCTTGAGAGAACTCCGAGATGCTTCGAGAGGACTCCGAGACACTTCGAGAGGACTCCGAGACGCTTCTAGAGGACTCCGAGACGCTTCGAGAGGACTCCGAGACGCTTCGAAAGGACTCGGAGACGCTTCGAAAGGACTCGGAGACGCTTCGAAAGGACTCGGAGACGCTTCGAGAGGACTCAGAGACGCTTCGAGAGGACTTGAGACGCTTTGAGAGGACTCCGAGACGCTTCGAGGGGACTTCGAGATGTTTTGAGAGGACTTCACCAGCTTCGAATACTTGGAAAACAAAACAAAAAAAAACAATACAAAATGAGGACACTGTGATGCTAGACTTGGAGTCGCGTGCCTTGAAGTCTGAGACTGGAGTTAGTGTCTGCTGCGTTCCTTTGACTAATAAATAAAAAACAACTGCATTTTTTTTTTCTTTTTTTTTTTTTTTCGGCAGTTACACATACTGGAACTTTGGCATATCATTTCAAACTGACTGCAACATTACATTCTGGTGGGTTTCTGAGCTGTTAATGACACAGTTTATTTTTTGTTGTGGGAAAAGTGCGGTTTGATTTTTCTCGTTTGACGCTACGTTGCCAGCGAGCTGTATGCTGACCGTTGCATTTCTGCCAGGTGGTGGAGGACGGCTACGAGTTCTTTGCCAAGCGCCAACTGGTGACCCTCTTCTCTGCACCCAACTACTGCGGGGAGTTTGACAACGCCGGCGGCATGATGTCTGTCGACGAGACCCTCATGTGCTCCTTCCAGGTGGGTCCTGGCTCTTGACTGTTGCGCCTCTGGGCCGGGGTTGCCGGTATTTGTGGGTCTTGGTTCGATGTGTCACTAACTTTGTGTGGTGTCACAACCATGGTTTGGTGCCCCCTAAACTTGGTTCAGCGCTACGAGCTTGGTTCGCTGTCCCCAAAACATGGTTTGGTGCCTCCAAAACTTGGTTTGGTGGCTCCAGAACTTGGTTCGGTGATGCCAAAACTTGGTTTGGTGACGCCAGAACTTGGTTCGGTGATGCCGGAACTTGGTTCGGTGATGCCAGGACTTAGTTTGGTGACGCCAGGACTTGATTCAATGACACCAGGACTTGGTTCGGTGACGCCAGGACTTGGTTCGGTGACGCCAGGACTTTGTTCGGTGTCCCCAAACAAATTTTTTGGTGTCACAAACTTGTTTTGGTGTAGCAAACTTAATTCATTGTCACTGCCTCGTTTTGGTAACCCCGAATTTCGGTTCAAGGCTACAAGACTTGGCTCGCTGTCAATACCTTGGTTCGGTGTCCCCAAAACCTGTTCTAGTGTCGCAAACTTCGTTCAATGTCACCAACTTGGTTCAGTGTCACAAACATGGTTCAGCGTCACAACATAGGTTCGGCATTTCTGAAACTCAGTTTGGCATGGCTCATAGGTACAGTACATCTTCTCTCTACCCAGATCCTGAAGCCCTCCGAGAAGAAGGCCAAGTACCAGTACGGGGGCCTCAACTCGGGCAGACCCGTGACCCCACCCAGGGGGCCTGTCAAGAAGAAATAGCGGGGCACGCAAGGGCGACAACGAGCAAGCAACCACCACCACCACCACAACACCACTTGCCGGGAAGGGAGACCAGTAGCAGCCGCGGTCTCCTCGTTCAAGCCATGCGCTCCGCCACCTGTTTTCACTCCCCTGCGACTACCCCCTTTTGACTCCCGCAGACTACTACCTTCCAACTCCCCTCCCCCATTCTTTTTTTTTTTTTTTAATTCTTGTTGGTCGTTGCCTTCCTCGGGTTGACCGTCCTGCGTCGCATCAGTGTTCCTTTGCTCTCTCTTATGCAGGTCATTATCTTTTCTTTTTTTTCATTATCATTACTTTCGGAACTGGAGCTTCTTAAAGATGTCCGCCGTTCTTTAATTGTTTGTGCGTCTGCATCCGGTGCTCTTTGTAAGTTTTTTTTTTTTTTACTGCATTTAGCTGAGGGTTGTACTGGTAAAGCTTCTTCTGGAAGCGTCAGTTTAGGCTTGAAACTGAGTTAGAGTTGCCCAGACCATGTTAAATTGTTTACGTTTTCTTAAACTTCTGTGCTTACACGATGCATTGAAACTTTTCTTCCAAACGTTTGCCTAGCTCAAGGCCGCCTTTTGCTCACGATTTCTGCAATCATGTGCAGAGCTGGCGACGTCAATTGCCAACTCTGTGTGTTTTTTTTTTTTTTATTATTGTTTGGATGCTTTAGACTTGCCACACTAACTTTTGAACGTTGAGCAATCGGAGAAGCCGCGTTCGCTCCGATTCCATGCTCCAATCTTTTTCTAGGTTTTTGTTTGCACCATGAATAAGTAGCGTCTACTCTGAGGGTACCCGTTAAGACTAGCACGCCAGTTCGCCACCAAGTTTCATTTTCTTTCCGACAGAAACAGTCCAAGCATTGCGGTCGCGCCCATAACAAAAAAGTTCTTGTTAAAAAAAAATGTTTTCCAGCGAACCGCCGCTGCGCAATCCCCTCTGGAAGACATGCCGCCACGCGTCTGGTTCCCGGAACTTGTAAAGGTGTCGTTTTACCGTTTATCTTTCCCCGTAGCCTCGGTCAGGCCGTCTGCCGTAGGTGCTGCGACGTAGCAGCCTCGAAATACAGCTGGCATTGTAGCATCCATTTTGGAAGAAGAAAAAAAAAAAAAAGAAAAAAAAGCCGGGGAGGTTGTGAGGTGTTTTCTCTGTTCGAGAATCGAAGGTGAATAAAGAGTTGGGAAAAGAACAAGCGGTATTCGCTGTTATTTTGCCTTTGTTCAGCCATGCATGCCTTGCACCTACGTCGACGCCGAACCCCTGCAGCCACCCTGCAGGCGGTCAAGTCGACAGCCATTCGCAGCGAGAGCCGCTGTAAACCACACCGCGTTCGGCTGATAGCAGTTGCTACATATGCCGACAATCGTCTGTTTGTACCAATGGAAGCTCTGCACGCTATTTTTGTTGAGGAATCTGGCATTTAATTTTATTACCCGAAAGTATTTAGAATTAATTTCATTGTACGAGGGGTCATTGATAGTGATTTTAATACCTTTTTATTCTCAAGTTTTGACGGCTACGTAAAATGGTTGGGGAATTGCAGAAATTTTATCGTATACCACTGAAGGCAAGCCACTGGTGCTGTGGCTTGCAATATAAGTGGGAACACGGAAAAAGTGAGTTAGGATTTGTACTTCTCACGGTGTTATATATTCAGGTGGTAGCACAGTGTATGTGTGCAAAGAGTAGACCCAAGTACAAAAGTGCCATCAGTGCCCTGTTGTACACGCCTGAGCCCTTACTGGGAACAACCTAAAGGTGCTGCATGTCCCTGCCAGGTACGACTCGCGGGAGTTTGCAGTACCTTGGGCGATTGTCGGTGCGAGCACCAAGTACTTTATTTTTGTGTAACTTGTATACTCTCTTAAATTACTCATGCAAGTTACCCTTGCCTCTCTTGGAAAGTGGAAAGGTCAGAAAAATTGCAAGCTTCAATTGTTTTGTTTAGGCACTCTGCTGCGGCATACATTTCGTATGTTTGGGTACCTCGGTGCGGAAAGGTATCAACTTGCAAAAGCAGGTGTTGCTGCCTTGGGGTCGGTGGATGCAATGACTCGGTATCTAACAGGACGTCAAAAGAACATCTTTTTGCCATTCCTTTAAGCCTAATCGCATTACAAAACTTCTGCCTCCCAACATAAATTTCAAGGCAAGAGTGCAGGAGCCCAAATTCGTCTACAAGCAGGATGGAAGGATAACGTAATGACGAAGGACTGCTACAAAAGACTGATATTAAAAGTCGACTGTGATTTAGTGTTTCTTCCAGAGTAGAGATTTGGAAGGAGAGGAGAAGGTGCACCCTCTCACCAATATTTTGGGGGGAGGGGAGGGAGAAGGAGATTTTTGTTGTAAACATGCATTTCGGGACGGATTGTACTACCTTGAGGGTATCTTTAAATTGGCAAGTTACTTGAATTGGGGCATGCTGGTAAATTGCAGGGATAAGAGGAAGGCATCTTTTGGCCTTTTCGTTGCTTTCCTTTCATCTTGGCGAGTTACTTCTTTTAAGTATTTGGCATTCTGTTACTTTTTAGCTTAGTACTTTTTAACTTAAAATTCTTTCTTTGAGTGTCTTGTAAAAGTTTGGTTCCTGCTTCTATTGTGGATGGGCTTGCATGATTAGTCTCAAACATGCTTGTTCACACCAGACAACACAGAGCAAGTGCAGAGCAGGGTTTCTCGAACTTTTTGATGTCGACAGACCTCTATCGATTGTAGATCGAGGAACCCTCCTAGAATGGCAGATGCAAAAGCATTGCAGAAGCCTACAGGCCCTTTAAACAATAATTCGACTCTTAGTTATGCATCAATGGGTGGCTCGGAAGTTTTACAATAGTGCTTTCGGTAGAAGTGGAGACTCAATAAAATTTGGGAGCTTGGGGAACACTTGGGTTTGTAAGAGCCGTGGGAAAACCCATGGTGTAGAGTTTGGCTTAACATGAGTACAAACGGTTCGCCCATTGACAACCAAGAAACTACTTGGTATGCTATGCTGTTGCCAAGGTACAAAAGTGCTTCTTAAAGAAATGGTACAACTGAAGCGTGATTGAGTCATTGGTAAGTCTTATTTTTAGCGTTCGCTAGCAGTATCAATCGGCTATTAACCGCAGTCGTTTATACTGGGAGAGTTTGGCCAATGGGCACGGCTTAATTGTGACCCTCGAGAACTACCGGGTGAAACAAGAAGACGGTAGGCTCTTTAAATCGACCGGAAAATTCGGTTTCTTAACCTATCGCGCTACGACTTTGTGCAGCGTCGCCCACAGATGGTGCATTTTTTTTGTAAAATTTGCAAAGAGCGAACTTACCTGAGGAAAAAGTAAAGAAAGAAAAAGGCTTAGCTCCTATGGAAACGCAGCGACGCCACCGGTCTGCAATCAACACGGCGCCGTTTTGCACGGTAGACAAGAGATGGCGCAACGAACGCCGCCAACGAATGAGCATACGGCGCCGAGAGCCAGCGTTTTTAGCAGACGATCTTTTCGAATCAAAAGCGGCGCGCGTTCCGCAAACGGCGACAGTTGCAGAAACAAAAACAGGCGCGGTAACAACAAGCAACTGCAGTTCCTTGTCTGCTAAAAACGCCGGTTCTCGGCGTCGTCTGCTCGTTCGTTGGCAGCAGTTGGCGTCGCGACCGCTTGCGCCATCTCTTGTCTACCGTGCGAAACGGCGCCGTGTTGATTGCAGACCGGTGGCGTCGCTGAGTTTCCATAGGAGCTAAGCCTTTTTCTTTCTTTACTTTTTCCTCAGGTAAGTTCGCTCTTTGCAAATTTTACGAAAAAAATGCACCATCTGTGGGCAACGCTGCACAAAGTCGTAGCGCGATAGGTTAAGAAACCGAATTTTCCGGTCCATTTAAAGAGCCTACCGTCTCCTTGTTTCACCCGGTACATTAGGCTCCCACCACCTCGTTGGCTCCCACTTACAAAGTCTAGGAGACCCCAAAGGTCCTTTAAATTATCTGAAGTTTGAGTAAGAAATTGATCTAAATGTGATGCAAGCTAAAATGATTTTTTTTTTTGTATGGCTACACATAGAGCAGATATGTGATGATGATTTTCTCTACATAGTCCTATTGATCATAAGCATGTATGCCACACATCAAACATTTGGTAAATGTATGACGTAAGTTTATCCCTCAAAACTGTGGTTTATCATGGACTGTTTAGACAGCATATGACAACTCAAAACAGAATTAAGTTCGTTCATTAGGAGCGATGAAAATGGGCACCACGGCGACAGTTTTCATACCAACTTGCGCGGATGCCATGACGTGGACCTATGCCATGCCGCCACGTCACAACGTCCGCGCAAGTTGCTATGGAAATTTTCACGTGGTGCCCGTTTTCATAGCTCACGTGCGCCCGCTTGAACCCCGTTGAGTTTGCTACTCACCGAGCACCGGTGCACTGTGGAGAAGCAGGACCCGCGGAAGCAAGCTCCTTGGGTGTTGCCTCTCTGCAGAGCACGGGTGCTGGGAAAGAAGCGCACTCAACGGGGCCGCGAGAACAAAAAGTATGAATTACGCGAAAACGCCGTTCAAATTATGCGGCTTATAAAAAAAAAAAAAAAAAAAAAAAAAAAAATGGCGGGGCAGGTAAAATTTTGAAATATGTTTGAATAACCATATGTGCGAAATATCAGTCTGAATTATCGCTAGCCTACTTACTGTAGTCAACTTTACAATGACTCGGTGTGGGTCGTTGTCTTGTAAAAAACGAGCCATAGTTGGTTATTCATCAAAAAAGAAAAATGACTGAGGGAGCTTTTTGTGGTTGCTGGAATTACTGGGCCGTCAGCAGTAATCGTTAAACTGTCAGACTCGAAAAAAAAAAAAAAAACATTTTTTTTTTTTAATTGTAGGTTCAAGTTTTTATTTGAGCTGTCCATACCACAGACTGCCTTAAAAGAAAGATCACTCTCTGCATTTTTCTCATGACACTTTTCCTTCCAAACTGCCTCCACTAAGACCTTCTGTGACTTTAGTGTGCTTGAGCACAGATTTTTGCATGCCAGAGGAATCTCCTGGCTCGTTACAGGCTGCTGATACCTCCAAACTTTGAATAACGCAGTGCAACAAAGCCGTCTATACAGTAAGTTTAACAGTCTAGTTCTTTATTTTGCACAAAAGGTTCCGTTCTCAAGCTTCTGCAAAACCCTGCTGAGATTGCACACTGCACACATTTAGGAAACCATCCCTCCATCAACTGCTTGCAAACTGAGCAGACACCCATGCCAAACCCCACTTGAGGTTGGTAAGCATGAACTTTAGCGCCTTGGTCCACTGCTCTTCCGAGTTGAACTGAATTTTGATAGAGCACGATTGCCCCGTCTTGACGTCCTCAATCTTGCCCTTGTCCATCCTGTACGGCAGACAGAACCCCGGGTTGCCCCTCTCCACGTCTTCCTTGAACTGCTGCAGGCAGTCCAGGAACGCCACCATGGCCTGGTCGAATTTGGTGTCCCAGAGGAACTTGAAGCCGCCCGCAAAGTGCAGCGGAAGCTCCCTGGACCTGTCTTCGAGGCACTCGAGGTACGAGTGGTTGCCATAGGGGACTAACCGGTACCTCTCGAAGGTCAGATTGATCTTCTTGGCGAGCGAGTGGAGCAAAAGCACCGTCTGTCCCCAGGCCACGTTGATCTCCGACCACTCCACGGGGACGTTGGGCAAACGTCCCAACCTGAAATTGTTGATGGTTCCAAAGTGCCCGTCGTGCCAGATGTGGAAGGTGGCGTTGAAGACGTTTGTCTTGACTAGCTTGTCCAGTTGGGCCTGCGCGTATCGCAGCTGCCCTTCCACGCTGACATGGTCGTCCTCGCAGAGAAGCAGCTGACGTTTGATGTCCGAGTAGTCTCTCCAGTAACGGTCCTCTTGGACCTGCAGCCGTTCCAGCTCCTCAGCGAACGTCCTGCGCTGCTTCTCGACTTCGGCGCGCTCGGCCTCGATCTCTTCGATCTTGCCGAGCAGCTCGTTCTGCTTGAGCTCCAGTTGACGGACTTCTTCATCCAGTTGTTCCACGTCCTCTTCGTCCTCGTCCGTGGCCAGTTGCTCCAGGTACTTCTTGTAGTCCTTACACTCGTCTTCGGTCAGATCGAGTTGATGCTCCATCTGATCAAGGAGGTTGTCGGCGCACTCTTCGCAGATCGGGTAGTCTACGTCCGACTGGTTCGTCATGATGTCGAAGAGGCGCGCCTCGACCTGGAGCTTGTGGCTGATGACGGTCTCGGCGGGGGCGGCGTTGTCGCCGACGAGCATGAAGCCGTTGCCGCTCTCGACGATGCGCCACGGCTCGATGGTGCGTCTCGAGACTGCAGAGTCGTCGTTTGGGAACCGGTACGCCAACGTCGGAGACGGTACATCGTAGGATTCGGCCGGGTCCGACTGACCCAACATCGGTTCCGACAGTTCCGATAGCGTCTGGTCGTCGATGGTCGAGAAGGATGAGTCCAGCTTGAGCGGCTGGCAGCATCGCTGGCACGTGAAGTTCACGGGGTAAGTACGGTCCTTCGTTAGAGTTACCGATAGGCTGGCCATCTTTTTTGTTTGAATGCTCGAAAGCCTGCTTGATTATTTCACACACCTAGAAGATCGAGGACATATACAAAGTCTCCCCATCCCGACCGTCCGCCATATGTTTTGCCCTGCAAACGCCCCCTTCTGGATATGTTTCCTGTTTTCTATCTTTCACAACGAGATCGGTGGTCTTCCCATAGTTACAAGGCTGACCCAAATAAATAACCATTTAATGACTGTTATTAAGTCACACATTACATTGATAATTAATTAGATATGTTTTGATTAGTTTTGATTGGTTTAGAATATTTAAACGGCAACATCCGTGATATACGAAACGAATCGCGGCCATTTCGGTTGTAAACAATAATTCTTCGCTCGGCACGTGTGCCCCTTGAGTGTTTGAGATCGTACCACTATCCTCAGTATCATTAAACAAAGCAGTAGTGATAACTTTAACAGTGGGAACAACCAGTACATTTTAAGATCTCACGAGCATGGCCCGCTACAGACCTTCGAGAGCGATGGTTGTGATGAGCAGCATCGGCGTGGGTGTCGGCTGCACCGTGTTGTTTAAGTAAGTTTGTTTCGTGTTGGCGAATTTGCGAGACGTTTTGTTCGTTGTTGGCCTGTTGTCGCAGGGAGCTTCTTGGAGGGTGTCGTTACACAGGGGACGAGAAGCTGAACGGCAAGAATGTCATCGTCACCGGATCCAACACGGGACTTGGAAAAGAAGCTGCTCGAGAGTTTGCGAAAAGGGGTGAGAAAATTAATGCTCTATTGCCACATTCAGTGGATCACTGTTGGGTAAGGTATACATCCAAAAAGTACTTGAATTACAGCAACAAAGTAATTGAGAGGTTATGTACTAAAGTAAGTACACCATCCGCTGTGTCACTAGTTGCGTGCAGTACAGGCGAAGGCAACGCCAGGCGAGGGGAGAAAGGGCAAGCTCTAGGCAGGCTGGGGCAGAAGAGAGAAGCCTCCTCTCCTATCTACCGTTCCTAGTGCTCTCCCTTTCTCCCCTTGCCCTCCAGTTCCCTTTTTTCCCGTTCCGCCTTCCTAGAGCTCGCCCTTCCTCTCTTCGCCTGGCGTTGCCTTCGCCTGCACTGCACACAACTAGTGACACGAAGTATAGATAGTATAGATGTATGTGCATTCAAAGTTAAGTACAAGTACTTTAAACAGTCTTTCATGGCGCACTTTAATTTTCCTAAACAGTGTCTCTCTCTCTCTTTTTTACTGAGCCGCCTCGGTGGCTCCGAGGCGAGAGCGCCGGCCTACGGATCCCCAGATGGCGGGTTCGAATCCCGACCGAGGTGCCCGCAATATGACGGAGGCTTATTGCGGAAAAGGCGCCGTGTAACCGAGCTTTCGGTTGCACGTCAAAAGATCCCCAGGTGGTCCAAATTAATCCTCAGTCCCCCGCTGGGGCGTGCCAGATGCCCGTCGTAGGTTTGGCACGTAAAACCCCCAAATTTGACTTTCTCTTTTTTACTGGTACGCATTGTCCCAGGGGTAATCGGGTGCACATCAGTTATTTTCGGATATGACGGCAAATATTAATGATATCAATGTCAAATGGCCACAGAGATAAGATTTATTCTTTGCTGACCAACTATTTCACACAATTGGCTTATAAGTAGGCTGTATACTTTCCGCTTTTAACTGAAAAACATTTATAAACATCCGCCGGTGTCAAAAATACAAAATCGGCTAAAACCGAAAAACACAGTTTTTTTTATATTTCTGAGCAAGCGCTGTTTTTTTTCCACCGAAAAAGTCCTGTATACTTCCCAGTTTTAACCGAAAACACCAATAAACATCCGCCGGTGTCGAAAATAAAAATCGTTCAGAACAAAAAAAAAACAACAACAACAGATTTTTAAATATTTGTAGCGATGTTTTTTGTTTCTTTTTTTTTTCTTTTTCTTTTCACTGAAAAGATTTAGCAAGTTTCCGTCAAACTCCTTGTCTTACCCAGAATCATGCACTTTGCCTGCCTTTCTGTTGTGTCCTATGTTGTCTTGGACTCTCGGAGGAGAGTAGCTTTGTTCCACTGTTCTCCGAGGTCAGCGGTCCTCCAGGGCTGCCGAGCTTAACTATCAGTGACCCGAGAGGCCAGTCACAGCTGGCCAGCACTGTCCCAAGCCTCGTAAGACGTTTTGGGGCTTCCTGTGTCCAGCGCAAACATTGAACGAGCATTTTCGGAATTATACTACAATAATCAAGTATGAAAGAGATTGTGCAAAAGATGTAAATAGATGTCGGACTGTTTTTCGTCTTCAGTGGTAGTTTACATTCACAATTTTTCCCATTAATAATCACCGTTTTTAGCGTCTGGATGAGAGAATTCACAGAAAAGCAAGGATACTGGTGAAGTAAATAAACTCCGATAAACATCCATCGATTTTTTGTCATAAATAAACACTGGAAAGTGTACACCTTACTTACAAGGCACTTATTTGTATCGGCCTTGTAGCCGCCATTACTTCACCTAGAAAAATTAGCAATGTGTCGTCTGCTCCCTTTTCTGGTGAGAGTAGGATATCCCTCCCCGTATTTCTTCAAAGTTGACAAAGCATTATTTTGTGGTACAAATTTAACAAGACCCATTTTGAAAATTTAACAATTTGGGGAATGTACTTCGAAGTCGGGGGTTGTGCTTTCCTCGGGAAATGCCAGAAAAATATACTTTAAGTAAAGTACAAGTACATACTCCTACACGTTTTCTTAACCTAGTTGAAGTAGTAATTTGTACAATGTACTTAAAGTACTCCCCAAAACTGAGATGGATATACATTTACTTGTATTTTTAATACAGGCTGCGAGAGGGAGGCTTTAAAGAGTCGGTCGTCTTCAAGCGTCTCCAACATTTGCTCATTGCTTCTCCGCCCAGCTATTGACCGCCACTCGAAAACACGCGCGTGCACATGTGTAACAAATCAACAGTTAAAAAACAACATACCAGAGAAGACAAAAAGAAAACAACCGCTAGATGGTTAAAGAAACATGCTGTTCGGGAAACACTCGAGAAAATATTAGGTTTTGGAGAAAATCAACTATCTGCATTAAAAGACAACTCCACCTCATTTTTGTTTTTGAAAAAACAATACAGTCTTCTTCATTATCACCTAAGAAGACCACACATCAAATATTACGACCTAGTTCAGTCCGGCAAATTTTGGAATGCGCGAAGTTGCCAAAATCGGCAAACTCTAGCAGGTTAATCAAGGCGCAATCAACAGCCCAGTCAAGGCTATGGCGTCGGCGTAGCCAACACTGAGCTAAACATCATCAACTTTGCCCCTTTTTGTTTGTTTTTACTTTTCCAGGCAAGCGTAACGGGTGGCGCCAGCAACATTTCCTCTCGATGCTCAGCAGTGTCCACGTGATTGGCGTAATGCGCCCGCGCAGCGCGCTTCCTGGGAGCTGTCCGGCCGTCCCGCTGTTACCGCCATCTCTCGCGTCACAACCGCCATCGTCGTCTCGCCATTTGTGACTATTGTCTCTTGGAGTTTCGTTCATACTACGTGCACTGACTGGTGCCGCGGTTGTGCGGACGTCGTCAGATGTCATAGACACCAAAATGTGGCGAAAACTGCGGTGCAGACGACACTTGTGCCTGGCACACGCCCGCCCCGACAGCGGCCGCCCCCATCCCGCTCGTTGCATAGAGGATCACGTAACGTCTCGTACCACGTGGTAGCCATGTTTTTGGCGGCCCGAAGCGAGTGTTGCCCAACGGAGCTGATGTTTCGTTTTCTATTTCTGGTCATGTTTAAAGCAAAATTTAACAAAATATATCCCATTTTCTTGCTGAGCAAATGATGTAGTGCCTTTTATTAGTGCTTTTCAATGTGAAATCACTCATTATCCCGAAATTTTCAGAATTGAGCGGAGTTACCCTTTAACTCCTTATTTCAAACTCTTTTTTTTTTTCCGCATTCTGCTCATTGAAAGTCATGGCAAAAGAGCCGAAGCATGCACCTGATCTCGCTACACCGCCATCTCCTTCCGCGCAATAAAGTCTGTCTGCTATGATCACTGTCACCATGGCAACAAAGTGTCTCCTTGATAGGTGCACATGTGAACGCAGCGTCTAAAGTCAGCAACCGCTAATGTTATTTCCTGAACATCCTCTCCTAACCGATGACACCATAACAGGTCGACGGAACCTCTTCTTGGGGTTCCAAGCTAGGTTCGGAAGCCATTCTTTCTTTTCCTTTCGCGGGCTGCAGTGTTCGGCCTGTAGGGCGATTTTAGCTACATACAGGGTGCGGCCATAAAGTCTAATAGATTTGGCACGCCTTGCAAAATTCGAATTCCAAATGTACACACCTGAATAAGGGCATGCGAAAATAGTTTTGCAACAAGCTTTATGCATATTTGTTTTAGAGCTCAAGTCAAAGGTTGTGAAATATTAAAAATAAAGCAGAAACGGTGGCACCGTGCGTTTCCTACACCCTATATCGGATGTTCGTCCTCTGCACACTGGTTTGTGAGCTTGCTCCCAGATAGTCATTCTCCATTTATTTAAAAAAAAGTGTTAATTATCGCTATTATCTCGCTCGTCACCAGCCTGTGCTAATGGTTTTTAGCTTTTTTGCATTTGGTAAGCCACCCTGGAGCGAGCTCATAAACCAATGTGCGTACGATAAACAGGCTGGTATAGGACATAGAAAATACATGGCCTCCGATTTTGCTTTATTTCTAATCAAAATTGAGCCCTAAAATAATAAACATACATAAAACCTCCAGCGAAACCATGTTTGCGTGCCCATTTTCGGGTACCTACATTTGGAATTCGAATTTTGCAAGGCGTGCCAAATGTGTTTGTCCTTACGGCCGCACCCTCTACATCTGGCTAGAAATGGAGCGAGAGGCCAAACTGGTGAACCGTTGCTCTATGTTTTTCTACACACAGTGGCATTGCTTTCCAGCTGGCTTGAGTTTTTTGGTGTTGTGAACAATTTTGCCTGCCGGAACGGTCGGCGACATAGATTAGCGTTGGCGAGCACTCAATTTTCATGCATACCACCTGCTATTTCGAGTTAAGGCGAAATCTTAATGCTTGAGTAGCTGGCTCACCGCGGCCAAAATAGCCTTGGAATCATACTTGAAATCTGTCTTGTTGTCTGTCTTGAATTTGTCTTGGAATATCCTGGCGAATGTTCCAAGACAGTTTCGACATATAGAAACACAAAGTTAGCACGAGTTTGTACAACATAAAGAGATTCCTCATTGTTTTTCTCGAGTTCTGTCTGCGGGAAAGCCAGCTGCCTTGCTTCCGAGATCTACCTCTAATGGAGATACCGAAGAATCAGTTACAACGATTTGGAAAATGGAGGAAACAGTTCACTAACGTATGGTCTCAAGTGACTCGCCAGAAGTGGAATGGTGTTTCGTGCAACCACCCCCCTCGCATGTTTCGATCAAACTTTCTGCATTGAACGTCTTGGTTTCCTTTGTCTTACTGCAGGTGCTAATGTCATCATGGCTTGTAGGGACATCAAGAAATGTCGCCGCACTCGAAAAGAGCTCATCGAGGCCACAAAGAACACAAACATTGTCTGCGAGGAGCTGGATCTCGCCTCGCTCGAGTCTGTTCGTGAATTCGTGACCCGGATCACTGCGAGTGAGTTGCGAGCCTTCACTTCTTTCCTTTGCCCTATTGGTACAGGGTATTGTTCCCAAGCGCTACTCAGCCGTAGAAAAAAAGCCATACAAATAAGCCAAAGAACAGAGTGCAACAAAACTTTTCACCAAGGTGTGTTTAAGTGAAACGCATTGATCGCACTTAAACTTGGTGAGTCTCATCAAAATCAATTGGGGGGGCTAGTTGGTTGAACATCTAGACGGTGATGTTCTGGTCTGCTCTGTAAGGTTGACAAATACCCAGTAATCATGAAACAAAGTGTGGAAACTGTACATTTCATTGCACTCTGCAATAGACACAACTAAATAATTTCACCGAAGGCAGGGTCTTGGCGATCCTACAAATTCAATGAAGAATTTCTGGGTGCATGATGTTTCTTTGAAATTGGGTGCTTGATCATCATTTTACAGTAGCCAGCACATTGAATCTTTATACTGTATATTCTGGGCCGTAGCTAGCGGACAATGCACATTTGAAAGTTGAAATTTTACCTGGTGTGAACTATCTGCAGCTGCGGATTATACACAGATTTGTTGTTTTAGTACATTCTTCGAGACAGGACGAATTGTGTGAATGACGGAGCATGTTAGTGATGATTTATGTATCTTGCAAGCTTCTTTGTGAGCTGTAAAGCTGGCATTTGTCAAGGTGTGCTGACAAGAAGATTTTATGTGTGGACTAGACACCACCGTCTAAGAAACCACTTTTTGTTCTTTCAGTCCAAATTTTGCTTTTGCTGACTTACACAGGTTTGGAAAATATGGTAATCAAAGTGGGTAATGTGAGGCATGTCTTTGCATCGCAGATATTGGCAAGGTGCACATCCTGGTGAATAATGCTGGTGTCATGCGGTGTCCGAGGACCCTCACCAAGGAGGGCTTTGAGAAACAGCTCGGCGTGAATCACCTCGGTAATGCCATCTCCAGCCTTCCATGAAAGTTCATCCTTTACTATTTTATTGATATCAAAAAAGGTAAATTCACAAGAATCTAGAAAGCCACTATTAGTGTTTTTACCGTATCAGTAGCTCAAATGCTTGTAAGCTCTACTAGCTTACCGTATCATCCTGTTACTATGTTCACATTTTTTATCAAAGGGCATTTTTGGCGTCTCTGATGAGGTGGTGTCTAGTGAGGCGTCTGCGAGTTCCCAATCCATATGTACAGGTTAATAAACTTTAAATGAACAATGGGAAATACCTGCAAAACAGATCGCAGGTGGTGGCTTTGCTTCCTCAATACTCTTATTAATTAGTATTTGAAGTGCCACTTTTATTTGCATTAAAGCAGGTCTCGCAGGCATTTGAAGTATTGAGGTAGTAAGTACTAAGGAGTACTGAGTTACTGCAGGCATGTGAATTGCCGAGATAGTAAAACAAATATTTTTGGGTTGGGTAATTTGTGTTGCGAATATTCAAATTTCGAATAGTAGCTTCGAATAATGTGCTATTTGATATTCGCATCGGGATGAACTGCGATATTCATACTTTTCGAAGTGTTGATCGCGGCAGGTTTGGTCCGTTGAGTGGGCTTCTCAACAAGCGCATGGGCACTGCGGGAAAGCAATACCCGCGGAGCTCGCGGGCTCCGCGAGTATTGTTTTCCCGCAGTGCACATATGCGTGGTGAGAAGCGCACTTAACGGGGCTAACCCGCCGCGATTATGCAAGAGTAAACGTTAGACAGCGATGTCTGGACAACCCGCGTTCATCATAAGCCTTTTTTTTAATTTTTTTTATCATGTTTAAAGGTGGAGAAAGAATATTTGGGTATTGCAAGCAGATTTATAAATCCTCTCGATTAGGATAGCTGCAACAAATTTGTCATTTGCATGCCACAGTTCATACATAGTTATATTATAATTAACTGAGCTTTGAAGTGGACAAGTGGGAGGGTGGGAACAGCTTTAACGAGTTCAGCTGAATTTTCGTCTAAGCATGGTGCAGGGTAGTGAAAGGCTTGGAGAGACTATTCAATATTCAATTAGAAAATATTCAGCAAAAACCACTATTCGCTTCGCACTCAAAATTCACTATTCACACTTGCCTAGTAAATTAACTACATGTTCTATGGAGAAAAACTACACTGAACAGTGTTTGAAAAGTGCTTTTGTTTTCTGCTTCTGTTTTCTAGGCCACTTCTTTCTGACGCTGCAACTGCTCGATGCCATCAAGGCCGCAGCTCCTAGCCGTATTGTCAACCTCTCCAGCGTGGCCCACCTCAGGGGGCAGATAAAGTTCAACGACCTCAACTCGGAGCAGAGCTACGACCCTGCCGAGGCCTACAACCAGAGCAAGTTGGCCAACACACTGTTTACCCGCGAGCTGGCCCGCAAGCTCGAAGGTGCGGAGAAATGTTTGTCACTCAGACTGAATCAGCAGAGTTTGAGTTAGTCTGGGTGATGCTTGTCACTTAACCTCTGTCAGATGAGTTTGAATTATGTTTGTGTTTTAATATTTTACAGTGGATTCTATGGAGTTTGAATTTGTCGGTTGAACTTAGTCAGCTAGATGTTTGTCACTCAAACTCAGCAAAGTTTGATCGAGATTTCAGTGGTCTCAACTACATTCGAGTTTTTTCACTCAAACTCCATTGGCTTACCGTAAAATACCGGGCAAGCGCCCACTCAAAATATAGAGATAATAACGAAAAAATGGGGGATGGGCGCTTGTCCGGTCATAATTTTTGACATATAAATGTACTGTGCATATTTTCTCAGATCTTGGAAATTTGGATATCGGCGCTTAATGTGGAATGAGCGGATGCACGGTATTCTACGGTAGTTTGAGTGAGTTTAAATTATGTTTGTGAGCCTGAGCTTTACCCAGTCGACTTTGCCTCAACTTTCATTGAACTTGTTTGAAGATTTGGTGACAAGTTGTATTAATAATAAAAAAAAAAAAAGAAGTGGGTGGGCAGCGTTTTGAAATTATTTCATAGGGTTATAAATACCCCTGAGTATGTAGAATGTAAACAGCTGCTGAGATTAATACATCTTTTCGAACGTATACATACTATTCTATGAAGTTACATGCAGACATGGTCTAAGCATTTCGAGCCTGCTTGCTCATTGAAGGCAATCATGTCTTAGCCAGCCCTTCGATTTTGGTAATGAAAAATCTGGGACGGGGGCCCACACAGAAAGGGGGTGAAGCACACTAGAGTCCTTGCGAATTTTGTTAATTTTTGTCTGGCAATGAAACGTTTACCTTTTGACATTTGTTTTGTCCTAGTTTCGTAAAAGTCACACTGCGATTTAGAGTGTGTAGCATGCACCTCTGTGCCCCTTCTACATTTCCTTGGGTACGTTGAGCGAAATTAAAGCCCTCGTCTCTGCGGCCTAGTTCCATAATGACCAGTTTGATGGTCCAGCTTTTCACGTCATTTTGAGTAAAAGCGACGATGGTTTCTGCCGACCCAATGAAGCACTCTTGCGTAAAACTTCCACCTTACAGATTTTATCCATCAAATTTTGAGTGGCAAACTTATTTTTATTCCCTAGTTGGTCCTTGCGTGTTATGCTTTGCAAACATATTTTTATTTTATATGTAGTTGGCTCCTTGCGTGCTATGCCTTCATAAGTATCTGGACAAGCGTAAATCTCTTGTTATGGCCCCTTTTTTTTAAGTGCGATTTGAACTGAACCATACTTTCCGGACTACAGTCCATACCCAGTTCATAGTTGGCAAAAACAAACTTTGACAGAAAAAAAAAATTTTTTCTTTAGATAGTTCACAGCAGATGCACATTCCATAGATAAAATATTGTCATACACAGCCAGAGTGAAAAAAAAAGAGATTTATATCATTATTTAAATCAAACCTTTCCTGCAAAAATAATCCCAAAAATAGTTTTTATTTACCATTTGTCTGTCCTTCGATGCTTTCTGGCAGCATTTGTTTTGAACTGAAATCAAAGAATCACTCAGCAAGAAAGATTTATGTCAGGCTGTACACTGGTTGGTGACAGGTCAGGAGTAAAAAAGGAAGCTCCTCCCACCCCTTTCCACTTCAGCAGAGCGAATGGTGGAGTGGAAGTCGCCTCCTCTCCAGCATTCGCCTTACTAAAGTGGGAAGAGGTGGGAGGAGCTCCCTATTTTACTCCTGACCTGTCACCGACTATAGCAAAAAGCAGTGCTCTTCGAAGTGAATCATAGTCTTGAGCTTTCTTCCTATAAAACTTGCACTTTGCCAGGCTAAAAAGAAAAAAAAAAAAAAGATTAAACTGTTTTGTTTTAGTATGGCGGTGTTTACATCAATAAAAAAAGTTGTTACTTAAAATGTACTTTAAATTTACTGTAATTAATTCTTTCGCTGTCTTATCAGTAATTGGATGACCTGATCAATCAATCTGCCATGTTTAAAAATATGTGTAGTGATAAAGAATCACCATTTCCTAGCTGCAGTGATTTAGATCAAACTAATGCTATTTAAATCAAATAAATCTTATTTGATTTAAAAAAAGAAATATTGTGATCTTTTTCATCTTGTACAAAGCACTCCTCGAAAAATGCCCGCTCTATAAGCGCACAAAAGAGGTTATATAAAAATCCTCATCTACATGTTTAATTAAGATATTCGGTCATATCTCATCATAATGAAAAATCTTGAAAAAACAAATTCATGTATGGCCCACACCTGCAAGCGGTCCTCAGCACGAACATGTATACTGTGCGGACCGTAGTCCGAAAGATATTGTGCTACATTCGGACGGGGAGCCATGTTGGGTGGCTACTCTTTGCTCCTGCAGGCACTGGGGTCTCCACGTTTGCCGTCCACCCCGGGATTGTGAACACGGAGATAAACCGGCACATGGGCATCGCAAGCTCCTTTGTGGCCACGGTCCTTGTGAAGCCCATCCTCTGGCTCTTCACCAAGTCTCCCAGACAGGGCGCTCAGACCGTCATCCATTGTGCTCTCGCCGAGGGACTCGAAGCAGACAGTGGCGCATACTTCAGGTACCATCTGCAACATACTGCTATTTTCTGGAATATATTTCAGGTATTCTCTTGAACATGCTTCAGATATTTTTTTTTTTGGGGGGAGGGGGTCAAAATGCATGTGTATCAGCTGGATTTCGGGGGAGATTAAAGCCCCTGTAAGCCCAACGCTATGCCTTTGATTTGGAACATACTTTTAGTATTCTCTAAAACATATACGCACTTCAGGTGTTATCTGGAACATGCTTCAGGTGCTACGTGGAACAAACTTTAGGCATTACCTCGAGCATACTTCAGCTATATTTGGAACATACTTAAAGTATTATCTGGGAACATTCTTCAGGTACTGTCTGGAAACTTGAGGCACCTTGACCCCTTGCCTACTTATAACAAGTGTCACCCCTTACGGACCATAAAGCTCGACCATGAGTGCGACTTGTGTTTCGGTTCCGACGGTCGCTTGGCGCGCTCTTCGGCAGATGGCAGAACCACTCCTGTTGCTCCATTTACCTTAGGTTGTTTGCTCGTTTGTTTAGCTGTTTGACAGAGAGAGAATGCTCCATTCAGCCCCACAAAAAAGAGGCGATCGCTTTCAACTTCAAGCGTTTGCACTAAAACGATGTAGTTTTGGTGCAGAGGTCCGCTTTTGCCGATAAAGAGATATGGAACCTTCTTTTTGAAAGTGATTAATGCTCCGGCATATGGGACAACGAATCTCGCAGCCTTTCGCGATCTTTTTTAAATCAGACGACAGTTCAATGGATTGTGACAGGAGCGATGAAAACAGTGTGAATCTTGCGAGCCTTCCGTAAACTTCGGGGTCTGCACATCAGTAAGACTGAGACCTGAAGTCATGATTTAGAGGAAGATACGACACCTGGAAGTTGAGGAAATGTTTTTGTCTTGGTTTGATGCAAATCGCCTGTTCAAAATGAAGATTTGCTGTACACTCCTCGAAGGAAAAAAAAAAAAATGAGTAGGCAAGGGCTTAAAGGGGAGGTCCGGTGGTTTTTGAACTACCTAAACTACCTGCATTTGCTAATTCCAGAGGACTTGTTCTTCGTGGGATGCTATTTATCGTCTATAAATTAAGAATAGCTACTGAGAAAACGGCAAGTCATGGTGATGCCAACGCCATCATTACAATTTTTCCACGGTTTCATGCGGGGCGATGTCACCTGTTGTAAAACTTGCTGGTCGAGCAGGCAATGTAAAATACTATGCAGTATATTGCCCATTTTTTCAGTTCTGCTGAAGCGATTTTCCCCAGCATTCTACTGCCCCAATTACAACATCTGTTGTCATGTTTTTAGTCACTCGCTGTGCTGTGCTGTGTGCTCACGTACACACACGGGCAAGGAGTTAATAACTCCACATTGCGTGTGACCTCTCCTCTTCAGGAACTCTATCTTAATGGGTGTGTTCAGTAGTGGATCCGGGCGTCAAGGGGTTCACGCTCCTTCTACTAGACGGCAAAAAGCGACTTCCGGTGCACGTTACTGCGGAATAAAAGAGTCGCGCTCTTGTGCACAGAGTTCCGAGGCGGTACGCGAGGAGTAAAAGAAGCACGGTACGATGTATTTCCGGATCGCTGACGAAGTTACGGTGCTGAAAAAGAAAACAAACAAAATGGTGGGAGAAGCTGCGTCGGCTGTGGCGTGGGTCTGCGGTTTGCTCGCTTTTGTTAAAAAGCCCTTGAAAAGAAAAATATGTTTTTCTTCAACAGTCTAATTGGGACACGCGTGTCAAAAAATTTATTTTACGTGAAAAAAATAGTTTTTTAGAGCAATATTGACGGCGCGAGACGTGATTTATTTGGCAGTCACCTCCTTTCCACTTGTCTTCTCTCTTGGCATTTCAGGCGCGGGGAGGAGAGGTGGATCGGCTTCGCCTTCACGACCGAGATGGTTATTCCGGAATGACCCGTGACAATCATGGACTTTGCGCGCAAAATTTCGAACAAATCTCTCGCCGTCAATATTTTTTTTTTCCATAAAATTGATTTTTTGGCATGTGTGTCCCAACCAGACTGTATAAAAAAAACTTTTTTTTTCTTTTCAGGGGCACTTTAACGAAAAGTGCTCAAGGTAAAACGAATAACGCAATTTAATTTCGTTTCAAGCCTGGGCTCTTTTCAGAAAATGCCTTGGAGTGTTTTTCGTTTCTTTGAGACATGCTAGCAAACCACATAAATGTTCATTTGACGCCATGCCTTGATCGCTGTTCCATGGAAACTCTCTGTCCGCGCTGAACAGAGCAAGGCAGGGTACAAATGTGACTGGTGCGCGGTTGGACTTTGCAGAAAAAGTGATCCCGATTAATGTTTCGTTTACATAACTAAATCAGGGTTTGTGCGAATAGAAGACGTTGACCGACGCTCGCTTCGGCCGACAAAACCTTCATTGCCAAGCGCAGCCGACTTCCCGTGTGTATATGAATACATTTTATAGGATGTTTGTAAAGAAGCGCAGAACAAATGTATGGCTCGTCGTAACCGACAGCGTAAATTCTCCGAGCTCCATGTTTTCCGTGTGTTGACAACATTTTTGTCTTTTTTTTACAACAGTAGCAGCCTTTGCACCGCCCTGCAAAGCGCTCGGCCGCTTTTGATCGCTTGTGATAGCAGTGCTGATGTCTAAAGTCACTCACTTTTTCTCTAGCGATCTTGTAGAATCTTCTTCAATACCGGCATCAAATAAAAGCGATCATAAATAATAAACAATCTTATCATGATCTAGCGATCATAATAAAAACGAGCGTCGTCTGCTTCCATTTTATTCGGAGACCATCTGCCACAGGGGAGGAAGCGGAAACTGCGTTGAAGCAGCTGAAGAGCTGCGCTTTCTTTGCCGTTCAGTAGGCGCTCCAAGAACTCCGGCTCGAGTTATTCCGTTCACCTAAGGGAGCCGCTAGTGAACGCACCCAATGCGTGAAAGCTTCAGAACCTGAACCACTGCTTTCTGTATGATAGCAGTCATGGGCACGTTACCAGTAAAAAGTAACAGTGTTACAGTTACCTAGGGGGGAAAAGCAACTCTGTTACAGCTACAGTTGCCAGTTTCAAAAAGTAACGTGTTACAGTTAGAGTTACTGCAAAAAGAGTAACGTCGTTACTTTCTCGTTGCAGTACAAAATTTAGACACAAGAAATCACAAATCAAAACGATATAATTTTATTTGTTACACTATAGTGAGAAGAAAGGCAAACTGAAAAATTAGAAAAATTTAAACCCGAAGGGTGTTTCTTTTTAACGTCATTCACAGTTTCAGCATTAATTATAACAATTATTTGCAATAATTGTTATAACTTAGGATTAACCGTTTTCCAAAATTGTCACCGGCCCGCGTCAGTGGACGTTTCGGTTTATTTTTCACTCCAAAAGGAATAACGACAGAGATGGTCACATAATTGCCTTATGGGCTATACTCGGAAGCAAGCCTAAGCATAGCAGGTCAAACAGCTTCCAAAAAATAAAGGGGGAAAGGAGACAATTAGCTTCTGGTGCTTTACGAGTGTACGACGACCACCGTGGCGTCTATGTCCGAGACGCCAACTGCGGAAGTCATGTTCACTCGAGCGGCTCCGAAGAGAATAAATAAGTTAAAGCGTCAGCTTTCTGTACATTATGGGGACGGCTTCCTTGAAAACTAATAGGGAGGAGGAAACGGCGAACGGCTGGGTGTAAAAACGACAGCACAGACATATCCCAGACACAGCCCAGACGGAATGCTCGGAGACATCGCACGACCACCGACACCCGCAGATGGTCTGCACGAGATAAGAGTGAGCCAATGTCGGTGAAACAGACATTGTTTGCCGCCCCTACCACCGCGGGCGCCGCTTCCTTTATCTCCCGGTTTCATGCTGACTCGTCCGTCGTCCATTCTCAGTCGTGGGCTAAACGTGGCTATTTTTTGTTTGCTTAATGCGTGGCCACGCTTTTTTTTTTTTTTTTTTTCAGCAAAGAGTTTGGAAAAAAATACTTCGAGATGGCGATTTCTTTATGTCCGCGGCAGTATTCTAATTTATATAGTAAAAATAAGTAAAAGTAACGGCGTAAACAGTTACAGTTACCCAATAAAAAAAAGTGCTACAGTTACAAGTTACCAGTACTAAAGAGTAACGTGCTCCAGGTAAAAGTTACTGGAAAAAGTAACTAGGTAGTTACCGGTAACGCGTTACTAGTAACTAGTTACTTCCCAAGACTGTATGAGAGGCATATCAATGAGTCATTGCACAGAGCTAATGCTGAACAACCTGATGATAAAGTATGTGGCTAACTCCTTGCCTGACTGTACACCGACTCAGACACAGTGTGCTTTCAAAGTAAAACACAAGCACTTTTTATTGCCAAAATTGCCTTATGAAAAAAAAAAAGACAGAGATTTAACAATAACTTCGAGGTGCAAACCTTGAGTAAAGCTGTGTTTTACCCCCAACAAAGACCCAACATATGTGTTAGGGCTTCATAAAATCTTTCGAAACCCTCGCAGTCTCACTTTGAGAGACCTGTGGAAAAATAGCTGCAAAGAAGCAGAATACCATGGTTTTCAGATTACATATGTAATAATGCTGTCCATAACATCTTTTCAGCAACTGCAAGGTGGCAGCAGCCAATCCGATAGCAGATGACGAAAATGTCGCAAAGTGGCTCTGGGCAACCAGCCTGAAGTGGACAGGACTTTCTTGACCCTTTTGTAGTCAACTATTTCAAGACGTTGCAGTCTCCGAACGTTAATATATACGTATATATAGATGTTGTTTAGAACACTTTCTGACATCATTGATAGACTCCTTAACAATAAAATAATTTTGACGAAAATAACTCGTTTGTGATTTCTTACATTTTCATTTTATTTTCTGAACTACCTGCAATCGGAATTGCAGTGGTGAACAAAACTACATTATAGTGATTGTAGGTTCAGTTGCACACTAAAGGCTGATTCACATATTTGCATTTGGCTGTGACCGAGTGCGGTCCAACTGCTTGTCACGTGATGTGGTTGTGTGACAGCGAGATCCGACGTTGCAAAGTGACATCACGGAGGTTCTGTAAACGAAGTGCCTTTAGATCGCCTTAGGACATACCTAAAAGACAAACAGTTTATATTTGTGCCTGGGAGCATTTGGGTTCTGTACACAAAGGACTGACTATGTGCTCGTCTCCTGTGTGAACATATAGGTAGTACTTGTATTCACTTCCCTCTAGGATGTATACTATTTAATTTTGAGTGTAAATCACATTGAGAATAAATTGCGTTAACAAACAAATGCCTCTTTTATTTGTGCAAAGGAGCATTGGGTCAAGCCGCGAGACTATGCGCTAGTCTCTTGGGGCAAGCAGAGGTTGTAGAAAGAGCCCTGCATGAAGCTGTCCAGGGACCTCCAAGAAATCCAGCCGTTTTCTTGAACGTCCAGTCTTCGCCTGGCTATCTGGTCCTTTCCGAAGTTCCGAGTGTCGTCGCTGAACCAATGGGGATCCTGTTCAAAGATTAATTGCATAAAACGAAAAAAAAAAAAAAAAACCGTTTAGCAGGGCGTATCAGTTGTGGGTACTCGATGCAATCTCTACCAGAAACATTTGAAGTCGTGCGACTTTGAAGTTGTGTGAGCATCTCACAGTAGTCTATTTTTCAATGGTAAAAAGTTATTCAATCTCCTAAAGTCTCATTTCAGTAGCAGACATGCCATAAGATACGGAGCATGCACTCATGCCGCAATAAGCGCCCACTCCCTACTTTTCAAACATTTAAAATATATGTAGGTCATAGGCTCTTGGATTTAACCGAAAAACACCAATAAACATCCGCTTATGTCAGATACAAAATTGGACGAAACCGGAAATGTTTGCTGTAAACGAGTATTGTTTTCATCAAGACCCCCCCTCCCCCAGTACACTGGGGTGTACCCTTCTCTAGAATCAAGCACCATGCCAGTCCCAAATCAGTCAAAGTCAAGTCAAATTTGGGGGTTTTACGTGCCAAACCTACGACGGGCATCTGGCACGCCCCAGCGGAGGACTGAGGATTAATTTCGACCACCTGGGGATCTTTTGACGTGCAACCGAAAGCTCGGTTACACGGCGCCTTCTCCGCAATAAGCCTCCGTCATATTGCGGGCACCTCGGTCGGGATTCGAACCCGCCACCTGGGGGATTCGTAGGCCGGCGCTCTCGCCTCGGAGCCACCGAGGCGGCTAGTCCCAAATCAGTGAAATCACTAATCTGGGAGGACAGTGGCATGAGAGTCGTGTCAGTCAGTCAGTCACCAAAAATTGTTATAGTGCTTATGTTCTATTTAGGTCGGAGCTGGGTGGTCGTCTTCGAAACTATGCTGGCGGTTGTTATCAGTTGAATTGTGTGAAAGAAGCAAGAGCACCTTTCCCTCTTTGTGGCTTAAGTATTTTGCTTAAGAATGAACTATTAAATTTTTGTCACGACTTGGAGCAGAGGGGTAGCAGGATATGAAGAAAATGAAAAGCTCCGGATGATTATGCTAAAGAGTACTCACACCCTGACCCGTGTTCAAAGTTGCAAGCACATACGGTTGCATTTATGGTAAGTTTCAGGCGTAATAAGAGTCAACACGTTTTAATTTAAAGTTTAATTCTGTTGTTTTTAGAGCGCAGTTCTTAGGCGCCCGTCTCCGGCCTGAGCGGTGTCGTCGTCGGCGTAACCAAGGTCACCCCAAGGTCACGTGACACCTAAGGTCACGTGACCCCCTGAGATCATGTGGCCCCCCTCCCCGAAGTCACGTGACCCCCCCCCCCCCCCCCCCCCCCGAGGTCATGTGACTGCCTCCCTCCGAGGTCAAGTGACCCCCCAGAGCATATTAAAGAATGAGGGGAGGAGGAGGAGGAGGAGGAGGGGTCTGCCCTCCCCTTGGTACCCTTCCCTCCTCCTCCTCCTCCTCAAGACCTGCGCTCCAATTCGGCGTTACAGGGAGTTGTAAACGGCTTTCACTTTTTTTTAAGTTTTCCTTTTCATTGATAATCAGTATTTTTAGCATTCATGCGAAACAAATCACAGAAATACAACAATATTTAAAGAATATGTTAACAAAAAATTGGGTTGTGTGTATGTTTATACAGCCTAGAACTTAGTCTGCCTCAACAGACGACTTGTCTCCCAGCTGTAGCCAGTGCAGTACAACCACTAGCCTGGGGTCTTCAACGTGCATCATGCAGTAGCGATACACGACCACATGCCGGTACAATGCTCATCCAGATCGAAACGGGCAGGTTTGGGGATTGAACACAAGATCCCCTGAGTTCTACAGCACAAGCTTTTGCTCCTTGCATATTTGAGGGGATCAGCGACCGGTCCCCCCGAATATATTAACACCAAAAAATGTTTGCCGGTTTCTCTTATACACAAACGCTGGAAAATCTGCCGCTTAAATACGAGCCCTTCCACTTCTCTGCTCTTGGACCTAAGAAACACAGATTCCTATTTCTCAGCGATACTAGAACTTTTGTGTGGGTGCTTGCTTGGTATTTTACGTTACAATACCTTCTGAAGGAGGGGGGAAAAAAAAGAATGCATAGCCAATATATTTCAGTAAAAAAAAAAAGATTCTACCTGCGACAGGCACTCCTGTAAGCCATGCAAATTTTCAGCTTGGAATGAAAAGAAGCATTCACCTTCGGACCTGACAGGGGGACATGGTTGGTATAACATAACACGGTGGCCATTCCGCACCCCCGCACCCCGTGTGGCAGAAATATTCTAGGCTGCGATCACACTTTCTCCTTGTCGTCTGTTAGGCGCAAAGCAGACGCCACCACAGCACTTGCTGAAGTTTGCTTCACAGGCTTTTGTGGGTGCCTCCTTTGGTACTGAAATTCCCTGACTCACGGAGACAAGTCGGCCAAACAACTAACAAAGGAGGTATACTGAGCTAAGCATAATCGTCACTGACGATTGTATACATATCTCAGTAGACTACCTTTATTAGTCAAACAGACATCTGCTCATGTTCTCATGTTTTTTTGTTTTTTTTTTCTTGTGTCAAAAATGCTGTGCTAATTATGTATAGTATGGTGTGTCCCCTTTGTTGAACGTTTGGCTGACTCGTTTTCAGGAGTCTGGGAATCTCCATGCCAAAAAAGTTGCCCGCAAAGGCCTGTGAAGCAAACATCGGAATTTCTTTGGAAGCGTCTGCTTTCCGCCTAGCAGATGGCAAAGAGAGAGTGTGATCGCAACCTGGAAGAGCGATTCCGCCGCACAGGGTAGGCGGAGTGGGCAAGGTGTTTCAGAGCATCCTTGCTCCGTGGCAAAGGGGGTACGGGACGGCTACGGCTGTTGTGTTATAGCTCAAACTCTCCACGATAATACATTATACTGCCAGAGGGACGTATTATACGTAGGTAAGTAATCGTCACGATAAGCCAGTTAACTTTCCATTCATCGAAGATACGGTTCCAATCAAACTTGCTGAGCACCCTTGAAAACCACAAAAATTAAGTACATTTTAGAAAGATTTCGGGGTACGTGGGAAGAGTGTCGATGCACTAAAGTTGCCTTTCATGCAACAGGTGCGAGGTCACCAATGCGAAAACGCGCTCGTGCGTTTTTTCGGTCTCTTAATTACTTATGTTGTTTGCACCGCCTGCATTGCATCAGTGATAACTTTAGCACACCACCGCGTTTCCCATGCACCCCAAATCTTTCTAAAATCTACTCTACTTGTTTTCACCTCAAGAAAAAAGGGAAGTTTTGTGCATCATTCATACGCCGCAAGAAGTAGTTCTTACAAGATTCGATTGTCGGAGGAAGAAGCAGTGCTTTTGGCATTTGGAACTAGAAAGTTAATAAATTCTATTTCATTAACCGAATTGTCATAATGACTGGCCCACCATATCAAGTCCCCCTGACTGTATAGCTCGCCTGCACAGATTGCACGTGTCTAGCTTTCACGGCTTTTCAAGAACAAATCCATAGTCTAAAAAAACGGTTCTTCTCAAGGGAGAGGGGAGAAGGAAGAAGTAGATCACTCACAAGCACAAGCAGGAACCCCGTTGACCCGGCACGGCAGACGCCGAGGATGCCCTTGGAAGAGGCGTCCGTGTCCCCTCCTGCGGTTCATAGCAACAGCAAAGACCAGAAGCCGCCAATGCAACCCAACAAGGTTACAGCTGTTCCAAAACGATCTTGGACGTGGAATGCCAACTTTTTCTATGTACATCTCTGCAACTAGGTCAAGTGGAGGTTTTTTTCACTTCGAACAAAATATACAGCTCGAGACCTTAGCTGCCCAGATCCAACTGACTTTGGATAAAAAAATACAATTGTTCTCCAAATTTCCCTCGCAATTTGCTCGAGCGTGGAGATCCAGGGTTTGCACTCTGGTAAATAAGTCTGCATGTTTTCTTCTGCTGTCTATCCACGACATCCATCATAATTATGTTTTTTTTTTTTATTTCCCCGCTTTTGTAGTTTTTTTTTAGCAACTTTGTAGAGGTTATACATTTAGAGAACAGGTCTAAAACATGAATAATGGTGACACAACTATGTTGCTCACAAAGTTTCAGATTTCTTGCAAAGCTCAATGCTTTAAATTTTTTTAATTCTTTTAAATTTTCTAAATTCTCACTGTTTTTTCCAAATATCTGAGACTTAACAATACTTTCCCAAGACTCCCAAATTCCTAGAATGCTTGTAATGTTCTTCCCAATCCTTGGAATGCTTTTCCCTGAATTTCCCCAATCCTCACAAAGCTTTTCCGTGAATTTCCCAAACTTTCCCAGGACTTCCCTGTCACTATGCTGTCTATTTATGGATATACCACACGGCCTGCCATAGTAAATAGCTGTGTTTAGTTTAATTTGTGAATAATTTCACTACCATAATATCTCGAGAGATAGACCACCTAAAATTGATTGTAAATTTAAAGAAAATAAGGGGTGGGGCTACCATTCAACGTGGAATAAAGTTGAAAAAAAAAAAAGCTAGTTTTTGATTTTGTTATTTTGGAAACTTGTGATCCTTGTGAACCAAAGACTGGCGTCGTACCCAGCCAGCAATGTTCACTCTTTTTCCGTCATGGTTAAGTAACACTGTTTTTGCTGAGGTCACCATTGGCCAGGGCCCTGCAATTACGGGTTGTTTCAGGAAAAGTAGCAAGTCATGCCAAAAATAGGGGTGGGCTATTTTTGGGGGGCTGGGGCATCTTTTGGGATATTATGGTAAGTAACTAACATGCTTTTCTGCAGTGAAATTGCATTTTTTTCCCTCACCCATCATGACAGGAGATCCGACTGTCTCGAAGTGCCGCTGCAAGGTATTTAACTCTCCAGCCAGATCAGTTCCACTGCTAATGTGCAGGATCTTGCACGGTATCTGGAACCAATAATAAAAAAAAAGGAAGAAAAAAAACAACAAAGATAATGCTGTGCAATATAATTTTCTTTTAAATCTTTTCTAGCAAGAAGTAGAAGACTAGCATAACGAGCAGGGGTGACCTCTTCGATTTTAATTTTTAACTTCTATCTGTCTGCTACGCATTGTGGAAATTGTGGATTTCAGTTTTGAACTAATGTCATGATAAAATATGAAATTAGGCGAGTATTATGAATTCTACTCTGAATGGTTTTATGGCGTAGACAAAACCAGAATTATTTGTCTCTATCTTTATTCTTCTTTCCCACGATGTGGTAGTATTCAATTAGGGAGACTAGATCAAGTAAAACATTTATTAAATCCTTTCTCCCATTCTCACTCCTTTACTCTTTCGTCTTCCAACCTGGCACTCTCTAAATTACTGTGGATGTAGTGCCCACCATTCAGAAATTTAGGTTCCAATGCTTTTAAACTGGATTGGTTGGCAGTCATTCCCTTCGATCACACTGAGGAAAAAAGTTAAAGCTTCTATGCATTACTACTTTTGAAAAAAATTATAATTTTCAAAAGAGACATGGAAATTGATACAGCGAACTTGAACCAATGTCGCTCTTCCAACAGTGCCAAATGCCTTAATAGACCTTTTTTCAGTAAGCGTCTGCGCACGCGCAAACCCTTTTCCCTTGACCTTGACCGCCCTTTCGCCATTCTTGGGGGGCACTGTTTTCTTGCGACACTAATCTGTTCCTATGGGAGAAGGCATGCCCTCCATTTGTAGCAGGCGGCGAAACCGTCATGAGGCGCTCCTTACTGGAAAAAGGTCCATTGCAAAATAAATAAATAAATATATATTTTTCCAAGTTATAATTTTTGCTCAGCTTTTTCTCGACTTCACGACGGATATGCAACAAAGAAGCCGGTGCAGGTGAGCTCGGCTCATGCTTCTCCCAGCGTGCTCCCCTTTCCAACATTTCTGAGTGCTGGATGGGCGTTATTCTCATACAAGTGTACTAGTCAACCACAAAGAGTGGTCCTGATGGTTTGAATTCAAATAATTAACTATGGTTCTATGCTTCAGAACTGCCAAGTTAGAACTCTTGGCGACTGAAAAGCCGTAGCCAAGAAGTTTGAATTGTTCTTGGCCAGCGCTGCTCTCTCCGTTTCCAGCCGCGTGGCCTAAACGCTTCCATACCAACCATGCAAAATATTCGCCGCAGAATTCTCCGGCGAGACCTGCCTCATAGAAGTGATCCAGACACATGGACGCCTCCACGCTTCCGATCCATTCCCGGGAACCCAAGAAACTGCCGGGCTTGTCTCTGATCTTCACGAGGGCTTCCTGAATTTGCGCTATGCTCGGGACTGGACATACCTGCAAGTATGAAGAGTTGCTCGATCAGGTGCGTGGCCATGGGGGGGGGGAGGGGGGAGGGGGGGGGGGGAGGGGGAGGGGGGCTTGTATGGGGCTTCAAACTCCCCACAAATGCAGCCTAAAAAAATATTTCCTGTGCCTGGAATGTGTCGTCTGGTGTGCTTACCATCCTCTACTGCCCACATGCATTGCAAATGCGTCCATAAGTGGCAACAAAAAGACCTGCTACAAAACGTGCAGCACCGTCCGTGGCACCGAAAAGAATGCCGGGAATGGTGGATATAAAACTGGTTGTAGCAGACGACAGAGGCAACAGAGGAGATGTGGGCAAAGGGTAGAGGGCAGGCGAGTTACTCCGCTACCCCTTCTCTCTCTTCAGTGCCATGCAATAGATGCTGTGGGGGCAAAAAGGAGCGTACAGAACTTTGCCCACGGCGTTCTAGGATTTTTGCAAAAGGTCTATCGAAAGTTTGTTGTGGCGTCCAGTGCACGATATAAGACTAGGTGTACTCAATATGATTTGGGCACTGCTAAACTTATTATGACAGTGGACAATTCTTACAGAGACACTTCATCATTTTCTGAAGATTTGTCCTAATCGCAATGTGAACATCTCGCATCCTCCTCTTGTACACTTGGTGAAAAGAACGACGGAAAGAATGTATTTGACATTGCGGTCAGAGTCCAGCTTTCATCGAGGTGCTTATCAAGTTTGGTTGGGCATCCTCGGGCAATTTGAGAGCCATCCGACTGCATATATAAATTCCTTTGAGCGTTGATTACCGAGGCAGTCTTTCTCCGTTTGCAAACCCAGGAGCACAGGGTCTGGAGGGTCCTGTAGCCACAGCCCCATCCCTGCACCAGAAGCAAGGTCATTTCCAGGATTTTTATTAATTAGTACAAATCGTAAGAAACATAATGAGGGATTTCACAGAGAAGGTGACTGTCCTACACTATGTTAACACATAAGGGGAAGAGAAGTCCATCCAACAAAGCTCTCTCCTTGCCATGGATGGCGGTTTTCTCCTTTTTACTTGGCTTCCTGGTCGCAGGTTTGCACCGCTAAAGTGGAAATAATGTAGGGCTTTGTGGGAGGCCATTACACTACTATTATAAACCTGCAACAGATTAGAGTAGTATGACAGAAATGACAAAACATGCAGGCGAGTGGGTAACAAAAAGCGAACAAGCGTTTTGAGACCTGTTCGTGAGTTGTCCACGTTTTGTTCCAAAATCTCGGATATTCAAGACTGTAGTTTAGTATATGTTAATTTGCTATTTTGCAAAAAAATTAGAGGAAGAGAAGGGGTGGGGGTGGGGGTGGGGGGCGGGGGGGGGGGGGGGGGGGAGGGGAGGGGGAGGAGGAGAAGGAATGGTTCGCATGCGCAGAAGGGACCTTTACCGAAACAAGGATACTGCGGTACTCGTCCGCTTCAGGGGTTGCAAACGCACCCTATCGTTGACGCCGTCACAGCCGTAGTGGTAATACGCGTACCCTCCTTTGACGCAAGTTAAATGCTCTGCGCCGGCAGGTACTGGCAAATTTTCGTGCACGTCTTCTAATAATGCGGGCGGGCAAAGTTCTCCCGCTGGCCCCTTAAAATCCATCGCGAAACGAGGGGAAACAAAACAGCTGCTGGAAACGGTTTAAAAACTGAGGGTAGATAAATTAATAGATTTTAAATGTCCATTGTACCAAGCGATAATGGACGGTAGCATGCGCCATCTAACTTGCAATATTATTTTGTTTATAAGGCGTCAACTTATTACTGAGTAGTTTATTTGCTATTATTGACTACGATTGATTGAGGATAAACATAGGGGTAGGATTAGTGACAATACGTATTTCAGTTTTGGAAGCTTCAGATTATTTCTAATTATTTCCAGGCTTGCTTGTTTTGGCGGCCCCTGGTGAGCGCGTACCGGCGTACCACAAAAGTGATGTGAAACAAGAAAACATCATGGCACCGAGCAGCAGCGCGCCGCTTAGCCACGCTCAAACGCTCCGTAGCTTTTTCCAGGTCAACTGCCGCGTCAAAGACTACCAGGCTCACTCGTCCAAGGTGCACTCGGTGGACTGGAGCTGCGATGGACGGCGGTTGGCCTCTGGGAGCTTCGACAAGACCGTCAGCATCTTCGCCCTGGACAAGGATCGCATGGTGAGCCGCTCTGGGGTCTTCTGTCAAACCTCGGAATTCGTTTAAATACGTTTAATTGTTTCAGGTTATTTTTGAGCATTCAACGCACATACAGTTTGCTCGAAACACGCCGTGAGCACGTTAGTTGTCATACTGCTAGCAGTGAAATATAAGGTGTGTTAAATACCGAGGCTGGATCTGAAATGGGCCGTAAAAATCGGCGTCTGCACGTAACGATCTAAACTTTTCGTCAAAGATGTATTTCACAGGTCGGGTTTACTTTGTAAAATTACATGGCGTAGGTCCCTTTATGTATAAAATAGGGCCAAAAGACTTGCCAGAGTTTAACGGCGGGCGGCAGACGCAGACGACCGAGTTGAGTGGCGGGGCGCGGCGCTACCTTTTAAAAATCCTACACAGTTACTCTAGATATGCTATATGGGACGTGATATGCGATGTATATATGCTACGCTTACGTATAGGCTCTGCTTGCGGAGCCTATATGCAAGCGTAGCATATTGGTACTCTAAAAATATATCTAGACTGCCCGCCACGACTGTGTAAATGAACATCATCTTTTTGTAATGTACCTTTGGTTTAAATATAAATGTGGACAATGATGTCAAGACGAAGTAACAAAAATAAAAGAAACTGCAGTTGCATAACGATGGTGCTCTTGCTGCCGACGGATTTCTTCTGCGTGTCTTCTGCTTTCTTTTGCTCGTCGGCTGCACCTTCCGATGCTGCTCCCGAGGTGGCGCCCACCTATCAATATGTGCATAAAACGTGCCCCACCATTCGACTCAATCGTCTGTATCGCCGTCCACCGTTGACCATGGCAAGTTTTTTGCCGTTATTTGTATGAAAAGGGAGCTACGCCATGTAATTTTGCAGGGTGAAACTGACCTGTGAAATACACCTTTTACGAAAAGTTTAGATTGCTACGTGCAGGCGCCGAATTTTACGGCCCATTTTAGATTGGGCCTCAGCACTTCCGACACCTAATACACCTGTGGGTGACCACTGTGGTTTTGACGTCGCTGGCCTGTCCTAAATATGGTGGTGCGTGTAGGAGGCTCCATTATATTTAGGATAGGCCAGCAACATCAATGCCACCAGAGTCATTCACAGAATGAGAACGCCAGGGAGGTCTTTCGCTTGCCCCGCCTTTGGTGCGGGCTTCCTACCTTTGATAAATATTCGGCGCCTCGAGGGCTTCAAGCTGGCATGCATGCCCGTTTATGGCGGAGGGCAACGAGTGGATGCTGGGGGCCGGACATCTGAAAGAGAAGCCCTGCCGTTCTCATCCTGCCCGTGACTTGCGGTGTGCAACTTCGTCTGCTTCTTGCGCAGGGGTTGTGGTGACGTCAGAATGATGCCGAGCTCCGATTGGCTTCGATTGAAAGGGTAGTGGGCCGACCTCAAAGCCAGACGCCTTGAGGTCTACCCACCATTTCTTTCAATGAGTCGAATAAGAGCTCAGCGTTCTGACATCGTTGCAACCCCTGTGCAAGAAGCAGACGAACTTGAGCTCCACATAGGTTTGCAAACATTCTTAGAAGTGCGGGTGCATTACCTTTGGAGTTTCTTTTCGTACGCAACTGCTTGTGTATTTTTGGAGTCGCCGGCACCGTTTTTAAGCTTGCCCAACTGTTTACAATCTTCATTTTTTCTCTCTCTCTTTGATAATGTTGCCAAGAACTTGCAACAAGCAAAGAAAACTACACTGTAGAGTTACTTACATGCCAAGTTTCTGCAGATTAATGCACCCTTTTCAATGCTCCATTGAGTAACATTGGCAGCTGCCATTTCTTAGGCACGAGGCGTACGATTGAATTCGAGTTCTCGCCGAACACTGACACAGTGTTCGTATCCAATACAGGCTCGGGGTACATGCCCAAACAATGGCAGATTCAAATAACTGGCGCAGCAGCTACTATTCTTGTACTCACCTCGAGGACTGTAGTAATTCCAGCTCCTTGAAGAATGTTACTAATTTCCCCCTTCATGTGTTAAATGGAGATAGATAGGGTGTTCCGTGTATGAGTGTCAAAAATTCATACAATTAGTGTATTCCAGGTAAAAAGATAATTTTCTTGGGACCGCATTAAACGTGGCAGACATAAAAAAATGTGCGATACTTACTAATTAGTTTGCTAATTAATTTAAAATGACTCATTAACTTTTTAATTAGTGAAAATGGACACATGGTTCTAATTAGAAACTTGCTGAGCATCATTGAAACCGGTTGAATCAGTAATTTTCAGGAAGACTGAAGGTGTGAGAAGCGTAGTAGTGCACTTGAGTTACCACTCCTGGAGCAGGTAGAAGGCTAGCGGTTGCAGTAAGGTGCCCATGCGATTTTTCCGTCTCTTATGAGAGCCCCAGCCTTGTACCTGCTCCACAAGTGGTAACTTCAGCGCACTGCTACGCTTTCTTAGGCGCTCAATGTTTTTCTGAAAATTACTGGTTTTGTGGTTTTCAGTGACACTCGGGAAGTTTCTAATTGGGACCATATGTCTAGCCTCACTAATTAAAAAGTTAATTAGTCATTTTAATTAATTAGCAATCTAATTAGTAAGCGTTTTCTGACGTTTGCCGCCACGAGTAATACGGTCCCGAGAAAATTATCCTTTTACCTTGAATACACAAAGTTTAGGAATTTTTGTCACTATTGCATGAAACACCCTGTATGTGGGTGCGTCTCAGATTAGATTTATGTTAGTTTATCAAGACGTACGCGTTTCAAAATCCAAAACCATTGTTCCTTCCTTTGACAATCAAATCTCATAAGAACTATTTCGCTCAGCGCATGAGTAATGCACAAACCTTTTCTTGATATGACAACAAGTATAGATGGCACACACTTTTGAAAAGCTGCAATTAGCACCACTCGTTTCATGGATGAATGCTCGCAGCTCTACCTTTTTTTATTGGGTGGTAGCTTGTGTGGCTTATACTTCGTTCACCCCTAAGCTGACAGTGCAGTGGGAGCTACTTGCTCGCCAAACCGATCGATCGCCTCTCCTCCATCCTCTGACCCCGCATGTGTAGGGGCTAGGGCGTGTTTATGTGGCAAAAGTAAGACATATACAGGTCTATCAAACAAATAGCCTCCACTGTACTGTCAGCTTAGGGGTGAATGGTGTATAGCCTAACAAGAAAGTTTGCATGTTGCCTACTTTAAAAAAAAGGAAACTCTAACTGGCATCCTCCTTTTTTTAAATTCCACAAAGGCAAAGGACCACGTCTTTAAGGGCCACGGAGACAGCGTGGACCAGCTCTGCTGGCACCCCTCCAACCCGGACCAGTTGGCGACCGCCAGTTTGGACAAGACAGTGCGTCTGTGGGACGCTCGCACCCAGAAGTCGGTCACCGTCGTCGGAACAAAAGGTGCGTCGCGCAGTGACAGGTGCTCATCACTTGCCCATTTGAATGTGGAAGAAGGACCGCGTTTTGATTTTTGTCGCCGCGAGAGCGAGATCTAATTTGCCTCTCGCGAAGAGAGCAAAGATGGCATTCGTTGATGGTTCGTCTGTCAACGAGAATGAACAATGCGGTCCTTCTACTACTTCAAAGCGCCATTTGCAGACGGAAATAAAACGAGCAAACACTGTACGTCGTCTGCTAACAGACTGGGAAAAAACATTGATCGTCTGCTACGAACCGGGTGTCGCAACGAAAAAAATCGGAGGCAGGCTTAAATTGTGATCGTCTGCCATGGGCTTCTGGAGAGGTGTGCAAGGGCCTGCCCTTCCCCCCTAGGAACTTCGGGGTAATTGACGGCGAGGTGTTTCGGTGGCACGCTTTTAGGCCCTGCTAATACATCATACAAAAAACACTCTGCAGACATGTTTGAAGCATATATAAATGTGAAACATAACGTGCTTTAAAGACGCTTGGGGCATGTCCGCAAGTACTTCTGTCATCATGTCTGCAGCGAATTTGTATAATGTACGAGCGATGTGACTGCAGCTTTATGTGTCCTGCTCGTGACTGAGGACCATCAAAAGTGAACGAAAGAAATTGATAGATGTGTCACAAGCACGGTGGAAGCTCGGTAGCGGGATCCCGTGTGTTTATCGTACTGTGAAGCAGAAATGTGCTGCATCCGCGTTCTGCGCTATCTGTTCAGAGGAGTTCAGAGCAAATTCCTGCATACTTGTGGCACCATGGAACGCAAATTTTCCATGCCTGCGATCCGTGGTGTCAGTTCCCGTTTCACACAATTTGTAATGCCCCCCCCCCCCCCCCCGGCAAGATCTACATTTTGCAAATTATGAGCAAAAAATATGTCCCGTACCAAACCCGGCGCTCCACACAGCCACTTTCCCGTCAGTGCTTTAGACATGTTTGGCACATGTAATTCCTTTTCTGCCAACGAGGAGCTTTGTAACGTAAGGAAAGGGAAGGTGATTCTCTGGCTCCGCCATTTATAGTCGGTGACAGGTCAAGAACCCAGGGCGAGAAAAAGGAAGGCTAGGGAGAGGAGGATGTTTCCTCCTCTCCAGCATTTTATCTGCTTCCTCTTCCCCTGCCTTCTTTTCCCTCACCCTGAACTCTTAACCTGTCACTGACTATAGTTCCACTAGCACTGTTGAGGCAACCATCAGGGGCGTGTCAAGGTGTATGTCACTGTTCAATGAATCTTCGTCAGCATGGCAGTAAATGATGTCACATTTAGTCTTGAGACTATAGCCGAAAGGCAATTAAGTTTGAATGGATGGATGGATGCTAATGGCTGTATTCTTTATAACGAGCAGTAGCTTGCGCCGCCTAGCCAAGAAACCAAAAGTATGATCCCTCCCCTTGCCATAGAAGCCAATTTGCTTCCCCTCTGCGTTTTCATAAATATCACCAGCCAGTGGGGATTTCGTCGAACTGACCTTTGTGAAATCGGGCAAAAAAAAAATCACTCCTTGCCTTTGCCCTTTGGTGAGGGAGTTGCCAATTTCCATCTGGTCAAACCTTGTAGGCCTTACCCCAACATTGAATCCACTGGGAAGCAGGGGTGTAACTTTGGGCCGGGGCACGTGGGAGGGAGTCCCAATTTTCCTGTCCCGCCTGTCCCCAGCTGTTCTAGTTTTATTTCATTAAATTTTCCCTCAATAATTTTCAACAATCATTTCCCCTCCTCATTATGACTGTAATCCTTCTCCGATCCATTCTTCCATCCTTGCCAGCAACACCCAGTATCCCTGCTGATTCCGTTACCCCTTCAGGAAGGGCAGGGCGAAGCCCCGTGCAATTCAAAACAAAAATCACGGATGGACGGATTCTAACGGCTGTACCCTTTATAATGGGCGGTAGCTTGCGCCTCCTAACCTAGAAAGCCAACGGTGTGCATTGTACAGCGTTGCCAACAGAGGCAGGCGTTCTTTCGCGCAGGGGAGAACATTAACATCTGCTGGTCGCCCGACGGGCAGACGATAGCGGTGGGCAACAAGGAGGACCTGGTGTCCTTCATCGACGTGCGCTCCCACAAGGTGCGCACGGACCAGCAGTTCAAGTTCGAGGTGAACGAGATCTCCTGGAACAACGCAAACACCCACTTCTTCCTCACCAGCGGGCAAGGGTGCATACACATTCTCAGGTAAGCGGAGTGTGCGCGCTCACCCTCGCTCACCCTCGTGGGCAACCTTACTATCGGGCACGGAACAAGTCTCGGACCGGTGTGTTTAGCGTCCAGTTCCGCTCGTGCGTCGAAAGCGATCCCGAAGTGGCAACAAGCGAAGTCACGAAAGCTGGAGTGTCATGCCGTCGGATATCACAATCCTGGTGACTGGGCTTAGAACTTCCAGAAAGAAAAAGCACGAGAGAACGCAGGCGCCGGCGTCCCGGCTCCTGGTTGCCAAAACTTCCTCAGACGGTCCAAGCGTAACAGGCCTCTGCCACCTCTGCTGCCATTGCTGCGACGTCGCCAGGATCGCGGCAGGCGTAAACGCTAAGCTTTTGTGGCGTTGTCGGGCGGAAATGGAGAAACCACTTTTTCGGACACGGTCAACACACCAGTCAGAGACACTTTCCAGGCACCCCAACGTTGCTAGAACGACTCAATCGAGAAACCTGGCCCTGGAACGTGCTTTTCTCGCATCTGCCAGAACCAAGCGCCACTGCGAGCCAGATTATTACAGCACTGCACCTTGGCTGTGGGTCTATTCTGTCAGTTTGTTTGCAGTTCGTCGGCTAGTTTGCGGTACATAATCCGTTTTGAGACAAAAGGGGGTGAGCAGAAGTTTACTTTGCAGACACAGGTCAGATTTTATATGGAGCGCAAGTTTGTCTGCTTGTTGCACAGTGGTTGCACTGATGTCACAACGCCAAGCTCTTATTGGCTGATTGAGAAATATAGTGGGTAGACATCAAGGTGTCTAACATCAAAGTCTACCCACTATCCTTCCAATCAAAGCAATCAGAACTCTGCATCGTTCTGATGTCACCGCAACCCCTGTGTGAGAAGCAGACGACTTGCTGTCTGCATTGCTTTTTGTTCTTTTTCGTTCCGGTATGTATAGTCCCTGGGGTGGCTGCTGCAAACGCATATTGTTTGGTTCTGAGGTACAGATTGGGGCCAGTTCTCTGGAGCAGGCTCCTATGACGGCTTTCCAACTGAGTTGTTTTAGTAACGTTGCCCGCAGCCGACTGTACATCCACGCGTTGCCCTCCCCCGCAGCTACCCAAGCCTGCAGCTGGAGATGGTTCTGGGGGCCCACCCGGCCAACTGCATCTGCATCGAGTTCGACCCCACTGGCAGGTACTTTGCCACAGGCAGTGTGGATGCTCTCGTCAGCCTCTGGGATGTCGAGGAGCTGGCGTGCGTACGCACCTTCTCCCGGTGAGTGCCCGTACGTCCGCCTGTCGACGGAATTGGAAACTGCATGTGTCTGCCGAATTGTTGTATCTGAAATGCGCCCATGACAGATGAATTTATAGTCGGGTACAAGCTAAGAATGCGCTAAATTAACACCACCATGTACCGGCCCCACGGCGTTGAATCACTTCACAAACCAAATGGGAAAGGCAGTAGCCATGACCAGTTATGTGACATCACAGAACGGAGAGGCGTTGGCAAGGCCGGGCACGAGGGGGGCCACGGAATGCAGGCGTGGGGGCTGGTACCGGCTCCCAGATAGAAATATTTAATTTTTTTTTTCTGCGACCAGCCTGTCTTATTTTTTCTATGGGTGAACAGTATGCACCGATCCCCACGGAAGTTGGCACGACGTCATCCTCGGTAGCAAAGTATTTGCGCATTCCGGAGGAACACTGGCTGGCAGTAATGAGAGCATGGGAGGAGCTTCTGGTGCATTCTTAACTTGTATCTTACTATGGCCAATATTATGAGATCATGCACGGTATAAAAAAGAAGGAAGAGGGAGATTACTGTGGTCGGCCAAACGTCGGTCGATCTGTGTAGCAAAGAAGACAACTCTTTTAGGCACAGGATTATTATCCGTGACCAAGTTGATTGTTGTTGTCGCGGGATTTTTACATGGAATGTTTAGTTGAGAGTTCGGCACTTCGCATGTTTAGTTCCTTATTCTGTGCCTTCGTTCTTTGCACGCTGCTTACCCTTGCTAGTAGATCCACATCGGTTATAGATCTTCGTTCTTAAAGGGCGGGTGCTTTCACATGTAGCCAGCAAGAAGGCTCGCACTTTGTGTTAGGAGAGTCATCGTCATCATTGCTTACCGCCTGTATAGATAGGGTTCCCTTACAAAACCCTAGTTACCTTATGTTTGACTGCATGCACTAGTGGAGGGGAGAAGATTCCTCCTCGCGTTAATCGCTCGTTAGAGGCAGAGTACAAGAGTCAAAGGGAACATTAATTTTAGATCAGATTTGACCACATTGTCGTCGTTTTCATGCTATGGCAAAGTTTGTTGACAAATTACATGTTTGTGTCTGGTGGATGAGACTGCTGTCTTAGATTTATGCCATGCAATAAATGCCGGCTCTGTCTCCTCTAGGTTGGAGTGGCCTGTGAGAACCATCAGCTTCAGCCATGACGGAAAAAATGCTAGCGTCTGCTTCGGAAGATCTTCTCATCGACATTGCAGACGTCGAGACAGGTGCGCACATGCTCTCCCTATCTTCCGCAAAATTTTAGAGCGCAGCTCTTAGGTGCCCGTTTCCGGCTTGAGCGGCGTCGCCGTCGGCGTAACCAAGGTCACCCCAAGGTGACGTGACCCCCCGGAGGTCACGTGACCCCCTTCCCGAGGTCACGTGACCCCTGAAGTCACGTGACTCCCCTGCGGTCACGTGACCCCCCAAAGTCACGTGACTCCCCTGACGTCACGTGACCCCCCTGATGACGTCATCGTCATCAGTCACCGCCATCCGCATCGTCATCATCACTGATGACGTCACTGGCATCGTCATCGTCATCATCACTGATGACGTCATCAGTGACGTCACAGATGACGTCACCGGCATCCGCATCGTCATCATCCCTGGTGACGTCATCAGTGACGTCACTGATGACATCATCGGCATTGTCATCGTCACGTGACCCCCCCCAAGGTCACGTGACCGCCCCCCTCCGGTCAGTTGACCTTCCCCCTAGTACCCTCCCCTCCTCCTCCTCAAGAGCTGCGCTCTAATTCGGCGTTACAGGGAGTTGTAAACGGCTTTCGCTTTTTTTAATGCATCTTGTACCTTTCCTCTGGGGCTGTTTCTGAAGTCTGATGGTTAATTAAAAAAACAGTGCATTACCGTGCAGTGGAACCTCTTTAAAAGGGTACTCCACCATTTTTTTCATTGTCTCTGATTTGCTTGAAATTTTGCTAAACTAACCAACAAACATTGCTAAAATAGTATCCCCAATATTAGGTCAAAATATTGTTTTTTTCGCGAAGTTATTGAATTTACAGTTTTGGTCGTCACGTTTTTCAAACTGAAAGTCTCTACTGACAACAACAACAAAGTGACGTCAGTGGAAGGCAGGGGTTAATTTCTTGGACTACAGAAGTTGTTCCTGACGGATTTGAAGCAGTTTCTTGGTGTCAAATGAGTGCTTTGGAAGCTTGCTCCCGTATCCGCGCTCCAGCACGGAACAAATGAGTGGCATATTCTATTTTTAGACTACTTGCTCGACTGGCAAGCCTGTCTGCCACTGACGTCACAACACTGAAAAGTGCGCGAATATTTGAATATTGGTTTTTGCATCATTTTCATTTGCCGATTTCACAATACCTATTATGAATTTCTCGATGCTAAATAGCATACCGGAAAGCCTAAAGGCCGGGGAGTCAGAAAATATAGTTAGTTGAGGTAGCTCAGAAAATCGGTGGAGTACCCCTTTAAGTCAGAGAAAAAAGAATTTCTATGTGAACTAACTGTCAGCCTCGGTGGACGTCGGGGATTAAAAATAGATAGTACTATAATTAGTTTAGTTATTAACTAAAATTCACCAGTTAACTTTTTAATTAGTGAAAACAAACATGATTCCAGTTAGAAACTTCCTAAGCTTAATCGAAAACAACTAAATTTGCTTGTTTTAGAAAAATAAAAGGTGCATAGAGCATTCCTTGTTGTTCACGAAATAGCGCTAAATTTGGATGCATTCTTTTAGTATCGGCATCTCTTTATTTATTTATTTATTCAAGTTACCTCGCAGCGCCCGAAGGCATTATTGCGAGGGCGGGATGCGAATACATATCAGCAAGAGGGTACAAACGTCAGACAATGAAACACAGGCCCGCAAGACACAAAATTAAGGTAACAAGGTCATCGTACAGAGGCGCAAACGTGGCGATGCCGGGTCAGCTAAGGAATAGTAGCTGCATTTTCCGTCTCACTGGAAAAAACTGTTGTAGACATTATGGAAATTAGCTCTTCAGGTAGCAAGTTTTAGTCTCTTGCTGTAGGCGGAAGTAAGGAATATGTGAGTGGATTCGTCCTACGCACACACTCACACTTTTTTAAGAAAGCACATGGGGATCGACAAATGTTTTTTTTTTTTAATTTTAAGAGGATTCTGATCAAATTTTGCATGCATTTTTGTAATGCGTGTATGGTGATACACGCAAAATATCACTGATATCTCGTTACTTTTTCAGTTATATATTTTTTTTCCCTTCGAACCTTGTCGAGTGCATGCGCAGAATTTAAAAAGTGTGATAGAAGACTGGTTGGACTTGGAGTATGTTCCCAAATGAATGCTATACAGCGTGACATTCTGGGATTTTTTAATTTTTTGCATGATGAATTTTCTATTGCCTTGCATGAATGGATATGAATTGCACACACATGAAGAACCACATTATAAATACAAAAAGGTATACTCTGATATACCTATACAGTGCATAATAAAACAAACGGAGCAACAATAGTCCTCTTGACGTGAAGTGAGGAGGTAGCAAATACATGGTTTTATTTGTTCCGAGGAGTCTACGAAAGAAGCTGTTTTAGAATTTTATTTGTATACAACGTCTTCTGTAAGATAATGAAACTAAATCTGGCTCCATTTTTAGTAGGCTAACACTTGAGCTAAAATCGTGGTTTTCTGGTACAATTCTAGTGGCTCTGTTTCACACTTTCTCCAGTTAGCATACAAGTGTGTCCCATCAGAGCACAACTGCTGCTGCTATGTGGCCAAGGCACACTGCTAACACCTCGTAAGATAAAAGGAAGCATGGCACACATGCTTTGCATGCCTCAGCCACGGGTGGGGGTTTGCAGGACTGTCGGTGCAAAGATACGCTCTGATAAAAAACCAAAACCTAAAAACACGTTCGAATAGATTTTTTTTTTTTAAATGCTTTACATGCTTTATATTTTTTTCAAAAATTGGTTGATTTAAGGGGGGACATGCGTCTTTGGAGCCAAAAACTTCCTAAAACCGCATGCTTTTGAAAATGGCAATGGCTATTGTTCTTCTGAATCTACCAAGCTTCTAATTTCGTGGATGAATATTTGAGCTATAAATCAATTTACAATGTCTGTGCAGGCTGAATGTGCATTAAAGTTGACTCTAAAACATTGTTTTCACAAAACACAATTTTTGGACTTGTTGATAATTTGCAGGAAAGATATTTCAGCATCTAGAGCAGATAGAAATATGACCTTTCCTGAAATGTGTAGATAAATGTGTGAAGCATACAATGTTGAGAGCAGATTCTTTAATATAAGTCTAGAACATTTTCTATATGATCTTTTGTATTATTACTTGGTAGCCATTGATTCAGCACTGAACTTCAATGTGTGGGAAAATCACTAATAATGGTTTTATCTTAAAAGTACTTCCAACATTGTATTCTCTACACTTCGTAGTATCTAGCCATCTGTTAAAAAGGGTATTTTGTTGAGCAGTTTTTTCCCTATCGTTCTTCCAAACAAAGGCAGGCAAGTTTTAGTTATCTTAAGGACAATTCTACTGACTGAGAAAATGACCAGATATATGAAATCAGCACAAAAAGCTGAACAAGCTTGTGCAGTTTCATTGGGTTTGGTCATAAAATAAGAAAAAAAGCTCCAAGACCAGTGTTCCCCCTTAATAGTTTTTGATTATGCTCAGCAAGTTTTTATTGGAACCATATGCTTGTTTTCACTAATTGAATGGCCTTCTCCAGTCATATCTTTCGAAGTGCCTCCTTCCTGCTCTGGCCGCACTTTTCGTTCCCGAACAAAGGCCAAACTCAAACCTTGAGAGTTATGGTTGTCATGGTTGCCGTCTGAAATGGCATCAATGGTTTCTAATTGTGCAGGGGAAAAGATTTTCGAGGTGCCCTGCGAGTCGCCGACGTTCACAATAGCCTGGCACCCCAAGCGCCACCTTCTGGCCTTTGCCTGCGACGACAAGGGGGAAAGGGACCAAGACGCGGGAACGGTCAAGCTCTTTGGCCTGCCTAGCTCCTCGTGAGTGCGCCTGGAGAAGGCAGCTCTGCCACCACATTTTTGTAAATAAACGGGATTCATCGTCAGTATAACGACGTCCTGGAATTACTCCTCAGACCTCCGTTGCACATATGGATACCAACCACGAACTCATGGTGCTGTGCCTGTGGGGAACAGAAATACAACAGACAACCTTTTTCGCCACATGAAATTTGCCATCGAGACAACTTTTAATGCAGAATGTGTTTTACGAGTCGTCTTCTACAGGAGGATCGCCGTGAGCGAATGTCACGAACGAGCGACAGGCTGGGAGCGTTGCACAATGTTAAAGTTGTATATAAAATCGAGCCTGTGTCTGGTATTTGTTAGCACGATCGAGCTTGTAGTCATTGACACGACAAGACTGGCAGGGCACGGCACACACCTTGATGCCTTCTTTCGCCGTGCCCTGCCTGCGCAAGCGTGTCCGAGGCTTACGAGACGCCGAAGCATTATTCGAGGCAGGAAGCAAGGTTACGCCAAAGGCGAAACAACGGAAGCTCTTCCCTGCTGTTCCCATCCTTTCGGTTACTGTAGATGACAATGTGGCGTCCTTTGGGGAAGATTACTGTCCTGGCTTATTTCCCATTCTTGTAGGTTCCTCAAGTTTCCAGTCGTGAAGAGTCGAACCCTTCCTTGGGGTGCGACTCTTCACGGGCCAGAACTGCTAGAGGAACACGGAACGGTCACGGCTGGGCAGTACGTCGAACATGCACGAAATGTCCGTCCTGCCTCACGAAAATCGACGATTGAAAATTGTTGTTGCACTTGCAAGGTCGAGCTTGGCAAGCTGCGATCGTTGGGACCTGTCGTTGCTCGGGGCGTTGACTACTATGAAATTACGAATTCTGCGTCGCTCCTTAGCAAGAAGTCTTTTGCGCTGCGAAATAGCGGAGGTTTGATGTGTTGGTCTGCTTTTCTCTCTGCTAAACCTGCTGCAGATAAGATTTGGAGACTGTCATAATGCCCCGAGTGATAGCCCGCCCAAAATTGAAAGCCAACCTGGTGAAAAAGAAAAAAAAAAAGGGGCTAACTTTCTCTGCTTGGTTGAGAAAAGCTGAAAAAATTCAAATTTTAGATTCTTTGACTTGCAAAACATGTAGACTCAAGCAGGGGCGATGAACCAAAGTCGACCGTCGTTCCCAGTCGGCAATGTTCGCTTATCTCCCGCCGTGGCTAAGTAACACCATTTCTGCTGAGGTCACCATTGGCCAGGGCCCTGCAACTACTAGAAATAGGCCATCAATCGGCAATTCTGAAGAAAAAAAAAGCAAATCGTGCCAAAAATAGAGGTGAGATATCTCTTGGGATATTATGGCATGCTTGCGGATGGTAGGCATTATTTGTGTATTGCACATTCAGTGATGTGGTTGGTCAGAGTTGTTTTGGAGTAGCCAAAACACCATTTTCAAGCAAAACAAAACTTTTGGAGGATAAGTGCACACTTCATTTTCATTCATACCACTGTGCATGTTATGTTAAGATTTATGTGTTGGCCTGTCAACTAAAAGGCAATGTCAACTTTGAATCCTCTCTTATGTCCGACCTGTTGTTAGCATCAATTGCACAGCAGGAGTGATTCTCTGAAACACAGGACTAGTAGTTTAGTTGCGTGTGGACACGGTCTCAAGGCGACGACACGGTCTCAAGGTGAGGATTAATGAAGGACAGCACAAACTGCTGCGAATGGTTATTTTAGGTATGGAATCCCAATGAAATAATAATATACAATAATTTTGTGCACCTAACTTGATGTTTTGTTCCACTTCTAGAGGTTGTAATTAAACTGCAATTCTTAATTCAGATAAAAAGGAACAAAGCTTTTGTCATTTGGTTCTGAGCTTAAGTTACATTTTTAACAAAATCGCCATATGAACAATTAATACGCCTCTTACAAAACAATTGCCAAACTCATTAAGGTTCTTGCCCAACTTTCATCCAGTGCTCCCGCTAACCGTTTTAATTTACTCCGACCCAGAGCCGTTTATACTGAGAGAGTTTGGCCTTCTTAAGGAGATTTTGGCAGTCTGACAACCACAGCAGCGTAGTCTGACAACCGGGGGATGACTACTTCCGTCCGCCATATTGTGGATCTGCCTCATAGGAACTCTACGCGATTTCACAGGAATGAACAAGACAAAGAAGTAACGCCATATTGTGTTATCGCGAAATCCGCTGGTTCTAGCGGCCAACAAGCTCCGCCCATCGGCCAAACTCTCTCAGTATAAACGGCTCTGCTCCGACCTATAGAGATGTGATAACTAAACAAAAGAGTTGGATAAAAAAAACTTTCAGCCCTTCCACTCTGGTGAAGAAGGAAGACCAGCGAAACTGTATTATGGTCAGACGACCTCAAGGAAGACTGCTTGGACGACCTCAAGGACGACGTCTAGGACGACCTCGAGGATGATGTCTAGGACGACCTTAAAGGAGCTGTGCAACAATTTCAGGGCTTTGCTTAAATAATTGTGGAAGTTGATGCCTGACACTTCTGAAGTGAACTACAGAAAACAGATTTTGCCTGGATACCCTAGTTTTTATTTTAAAAAATGAAAAAGATCCAGACTTTTGCCGCCTCTCAACTCGTACATCGTCTTCCGGGTCATGTGCGCAGTGACGTCACTTGAGTAGGCGCGGAGTTCCGGAAAAGTTCTCTCTGTAGAGCCATCAGCGAGCAGCAAGAACTCATCCGCTCGCGACCGCGCGACCACGTGCTGGCGGGCGCCCCGCGAAATATACGGTGAAAGGAGGAAAGTCTCATCCGGGTCCAGCCATACCCGTCCTTGCCCGTCCGGCGCTGTCCCCCTCCCCCTCCGGCTTCTGGCATCTATTCGCGGTTTTGTGGACCTAGAATAGATGGCGCCACTAAAACTCTGTATAATAAAAGTTTTCTCGATGATACCAGGGTTTTGACGCATTTATATATATGTTGGAACGACAAGATTTATAGACAAGTTACCTTTTATCGAGCAGGTATTCGCACAACTTGCTATCTTTTTTACAACTACCCAAGTGACGTCACGCCGCTTGTTTTTCATGGCCGCCGCTCGTGGCTGCAGGTCGGAAATATTCTAAGTTTTGCCTCGCTATTACGCGGCGGAATCGCAACATTTCGATGAAAGGTGTGTTTTCTGCCATTTGTGACACAGTGAACAATACCAAAAGCAGAAAATGCCAATTCTTTCAACGTTAAAATCGTTGCACAGCTCCTTTAAGGACGACTTCTAAGACTACCTCGAGGATGACACCTAGAGGACGAACTCGGGAACGACATCTAGACGACCTCAAGGACGACCTCGAGGACAACCTCAAGGACGACTTCTAGGACGACCTCGAGGACGACATTTAGGACGACGCCTAGAGAAATTCAGCCTTTCCACTCTGGTGAAGAAGGAAGACCAGCGAAACTGCATTATGGTCAGACGATTTCAAGGAAGACTGCTTGGACGACCTCAAGGATGATGTCTAGGACGACCTCAAGGATGATGTCTAGGACGACCTTAAGGACGACTTCTAAGACTACCTTGAGGATGACACCTAGAGGATGACACCTAGAGGACGAACTCAGGGACGACACTAGACGACCTCAAGGACGACGCCTACGACGACCTCGAGGACAACCTCAAGGACGACTTCTAGGACGACCTCGAGGACGACATCTAGGACGACGCCTAGAGAAATTCAGCCTTTCCACTCTGGTGAAAACCAGAGTGAAAAGGCTGGAAAGGTTGTCGCCATCTATGAGCAAGGCCGGCAAACAGATTGTCTGGTTGCTGCCGTCGTTCATAGATAGCGGTAGCTGCCCATAGTTTTGTGTCAACATTTCTTTACGGGGGACACGATCCTGGGGATACTAGCCCTTAACAGCTCCGCTGTAAAAACATACCTACGGACCAGTCCATATAAATCTTCTTGCAACTCCAAATATTCGTGCTAAATCTCGAAATTGGACAAAGATATTGTGAGGATATCACAGTGTATCACATATAGCTGCAGTTTTATTTGGAAATTGTACGTAACATCCTGCTCTGGAGGAGTACTTTTCCCTTAGCATGTGGGTACGCTGCAGCAGAGCAAGACGTGAAAACTCGCAATGTCCACTCGGATACGCCCACTTCACAGCATAGTGTTATTATAAAGTACGCTAGAGGTTCAACTGGTGCTTATCGCAAATTGAAGCAGATGGCAACCAGTCGAAAATTGACTTCAGGTGATTCATTTCTATGGGAAAAAGAGAGCATATTTTCTCCCTGCGCTTGATTATAAGAGCGAATGTTTTGAATAATTTGTACGTACTACGTAGCTTGGAACATTTCTCAGTCAGGCAGACAAAATAATTGGTCAGTAGGGCATTTTTCTTTTAAACTCATTGGATTAAAAACTGTGCTAAAACAGCTTCGTACATGTATTTATGTGCACTACCGGACACTGTTAGCGCGAGCACGACATCGGCGCTTTTCAGCATGAGGGATATACGTGCCAAACAAACGAAGGGCATCTGGAAAACAAAGAGAGATGGCAAGAACTACGCAGCAGCACTGGATCAGTAACTCCCTGTGAATGTACAATCAAAATGCAGTCCGATTTTCAATAAGTGCTGCTTTATTCTTTTTGCTCTGTGCGAAGATGCTTGTTTTATATTCAAAACATCACCCACATGCTCGAAATATTTGATAACAAGTGCCCGATAAAGGCTGCCCGGCAGAGAAAATGATAAAAAGAGACACCTTTTGTAGCCCACATAGTTTATTCTTTACGTTCTGAATGTTTTTAGCCTCGTAAAGATGCAAGACTGGGTCAATTTCATATAGCGACAAGACTGGCATATTAGCAATATACAAGCGTCACCGGAATGATGTCGAACCTTGGAACACACTTGTATTCCTTTCGATTGTTATTTTGTTTAGAATCGTTGCTTGTTTTTACACACCTGCTGTTGAACACAAGTTTGGGCCTGAAATATATAGAGAAGTTAAACATTGTCACTGATGAAGGAAAATGTGCTACCTTAAGCAATTGCACCTTTACAATGTTAAAAAAGGTACATACATTTGGTACAACCCAAATACAAAAGCGTTCCATGTTATTTTCCAGCGAAGAGAGAAAGTGCACACGAGTTTTCCCATAGGAATGCACAGGAGCACCTCGAAAGTAGACTGGTTGCTGTCCGCTTCAATTTGCATCACGAAAGTCGCATAGACACTAGCGCCAATTGAACCTCTAGCGTACAATATAATAACTCCATGCTCTACTGTCGTCGCCTCACTGCACTGCATCAATGCGTGGCGAGAAGCGCACAAAACGAAGCTACAAATTAACCCGCCAGAAAAGACCACGGACAAGAGAAGTATTTCAAACCTTTTGAGTATACTTCCAGTCTTTGATACAAGATCAAACCGAATAGTATACGTTGTCTGAGGGCGATAATCCAAAACTCTGAAAATTCGCACAAGCCCATCGAAACAACTTGGCCAGGTAGTGAGGCTTGAGTCGGTATATTTTCAGTACCATTGAAGTGAAAGGAAGGTTTGATGGCAATGTTGGCAGCAATTCCTCATATTCGAGAAAAATGCCGCAGGATGTAGCAGTCTCATCCCTACACATTTCGTCGTCAACTTCAATTTTGATTGATAAACAATTTAAGAACACCAGTGAGTTTCCCAATTTCACTGCTGAATTGGCTTGCACTTTGAAGTTGGAGAATGCTATGGGTGCAGGCATGAAGGCATAAAAGACCGATTCATGTGCTGGAAGCAGCTTTCGAAGTTAAGAGCCCGTGCCTCTTACTGCATTCTACTATTCACAGAAAAAAAAAGCTCATATTTTATTCATCTTTAACCCGACAGTGCTGTGAAAGCTACACACTCACCGGCCCTTCATCACCAGACTCCGTCCTCTGCGTGTGAATATGGGCGGGAGCGTGATCACATGGTGAGAGAGACATAAAACTTTCACCGCACCCTCAGATCATCGGTGAATGGAGTATGGTGGTTTTGAGCTTGCCACTTTGGCACGCATGCACCAGACATCTAGAATGGCAGTTGCCAGACGTCCTTTCGTGAAATGGTGTGCATTCGTGTTTTTAATACGAACACCTCCATATTCCAGAACCGTCTTAAGGTTCTGGAGTGCTAGCTTTTGCTCCACGTGCTCCGACGCACTAAAAAAACTCCACCAGTCGCCCCCAAGAGTATCAATGTTATGACTGATACTCAGGATAGTATCAGTATCAATATTATTCATATTTATTTCGGTTCAGGAGAGGCACGGCATGACCAAGAGGCAAGTAGCCCGTACCGTGATGGCCTGTGGTGCCACATCTAATGATGCAACGACATATTGTACAGATGACAGAGGTGCTGATGATAGCTTGGGAGCGAGAATGAGGGGACAGCAAAACGAGAAAACAACCGAAGCTTTATCAGAGTCGACCTTGAGACGACCTTCGATGCACGAAAGAGATGATGGTTGACCGGTCTGTCTACCGACGATGTCGGCTATCTCTCCCGGCAGGTAAAATAGCCGCATGAGGAATTTCGAGCTCACGTGACCGGCTCCGTGGGGACAAGAAACTGAAGGTACCTAGCATTCCAGGCAAATGGCTGCCTTAGGTCTGTCCTCACTTGATTATTCAGGTTCAAATTAGAGCACAGCAATGGAGTGAACAGGCTTGAAATGTAAGTGAAATTGATTGCATTCGTGTACGTCAGGAGCAACATTCCGTACCTGAGGCAAGCCATGTTAAGTGAAGGAAACGACAGACAAGGTTTACGTCTGCCGAGCGGATATGGCTGGAACGCCATGTACTTCCCTCCTATGGAACCTGATGCGTGGCCTGAACATCCCATTTGCGCCTATTGTAACTGCTGGGGGAGATACCTGCACTCGGCGACAAACCAGCCCTGGACTTCTCGCAAATGCTCAGGACGCTATCAGCGAGAGCATGGCCTTCTCCTTCCTGGCCTTCTTCTTCCTCCGCTCCTTGAAGGCCCGTGTGGCGTCCGTAAAGAGGGCCACCTCCTCCCTCGAGTCCAGCTCCCTCTGGAGGAAACGCAGACCGGCCAGGTTGAAGCCCACCGCGTCTCTGGCCGAGCCGAGCCGATCCAGTGTGGCCAGACGCAGACGGTCCACCACCGGAACTAGGGCTGAGGTGGCCCCGATCTGGCCGCTGTGCACCCTCAGCAGGAAGAAGAGGCAGCGGCAGCACAGCTCCACCTCCCAGTTGCGGCTCAGCAGCTCCGAGAGGGCCTGGAGCGTCACAATGGAAGTGTCGTGCAAGGGCCGCAAGCTTGCCTCCGCAGCCAGCAAGTTTGTCTGCTCTTTGCTTAGAGGTAGAGTGACACTACAGTGGTATTATAAAAAAAGGCGAGGCAATGTTTTTTGTACTTTCAGTAACTACCGCTTAGCATTCATTCTCGACGTTCATAATCTACGACCACACGTTGCTTTTAATGCAGTTGGATACTATAGCCACTGAGCTGCATAGTATGTTTACTCTGGAAGCACTGTGCTTCCGGCAAAACGTGCCGGCGAGGCCAATGTGACATCATAAAGTTTGTATAATTTTCTGCTACATGACACTCTAGTTGCAAAAAAAAAGAAAAAAAAAAAGAGGCGCTTGTTTGTGCAATTTGCAGCCAGAACGGGCGGCCACGTGATCTGGGCTGCCAATGTTTATCATAGTTGAGCACTGGGGTTGACGAAGCACGAGGCACGTGACAAGTTCCAGACATTTTTAGGGTTCAGTCGCTTCTGTCGTTGCAGCAATTCGACATGAGCCACTGATTATCACGAGCCCGAATCAAGCGCTCGTGCAATGCTCGTGTCGAACCTACGAGCTGCATTCAACTACCATCACGCAAGGGCCGTCCCCAAGAACTACGTCAACACCGCGACCCCCGTGCTATGTCGTCGAGTTTTGCGAAGGAGAGACTGAACAACAACGCTCGCTTCATCTTAAAGTTACACCCCAAGAGTAGTTTCTGGGTCAGTGGCGTTGCGTGCGAATATGCTTGGCTCCTACTAGTGCCAGTGAGCGCATGTAAAGTGAAAAACATTCCAACTGAATATCAACGTACCGCCCATCTCAAAGTGCCCGAAATGTTCATCCCGTTATAAAGATGCGGATGGCCGGCAGACTTCTTCGGGCAACGGTGTGTGTGATAAATCACATGCTCAATAGCTTCGGAAGGAGTCGCGTGCACTTTTTTAACCGGCTGTGTCTCCCGGTGCCTGTGTTGTCCCTTCACCGACGCCGTCGACATAATGTCGCTAAACGCTCCTGTTTGCCACTTATGGTGGTGTGCGTGCAGTCAACAATTTCGGTTGCGGGTTTCCGACCGTTGATAGCTATCAGCTTGCCCCCAAATGGTTGCCTTTGCTTCTGCATTCATCTCAAACTTCTCTAGATATATGGGTGCTTCATCTGCAAAGGATCTAGAAATATAAGTCGACCAGATGGAGTGGCACCACTGCCCGAATATTGAAACCCTTCAGGGTCTTTTCCTGCTTTTTTGTAGACTGTCTGCAGCAGTGTGGTAGAAGATAACCCTTGTGCAAGTATTTTTTTTTAAGTAGGTACTACCATAAGGCAGATTATTTTCGCGAAAACTGGATCGGATAACTTAAGAAACTTGATGGTTGTGAAATATTTAAGTGAAACATGTGCACTCCAATTTGCTGGGGAATACATGGTCAAGTGAACGCTAAAAAAAAAAGAAAAGAAAAATAAACCTAGTAAATCTGATTGTGCTGTATGTAAGCCTTAAAACTGAGTGCAAGGCCTTGCATAAGACCTATAACTTTCTGTTGTAACAGCATACAAGAGGCTTTCAACTGAAATCACATTAAACTGCAAAATGACGTACCTTCAGCAGTTCAATGACATAGCCAAAGGGCAGCACCAGCAGAGTTTCTTCCAGCTCGCTGTACCTGATCCTTCGCAAGGTCTCAAGCATGTACCGCTCGGGACACGTGGTCTGGTAGACTGTCATCAGCGGGTGTGGGGCAGGCCTTTGAGGTGGATCTTTTGAATTTGTTTTCAACAGTGCTGTATATTCTTCCAACTTGGCCTTCTCCTCCTTGTAGACATCAATGGCTTCCAGAAGCCTCTCTGCAATTTTTACCGTCTCCACTGTCTTCTTTGCTGCCAAACCGACCTCGTCTTTGCCGCCTTCCCTCGGTATGACCGTCTCTTCCAAGTTGGAGCTCGCCTCAAATTCAGCTTCTCGCTCGTTCTCTCGTTCTTCCTCGAGCACAAGAGGTTCATCCGTCTTTAGCCACAGCCTCAGGGACCGGTCGTGTGACGCTGTCGCCAAGAACTTGCCGTTGGGGCTGATTCCCAAGGCCCAGACCTCCCCCTGGTGCCCCTCAAGAGTGACTACCTTCTGGAAGTTGTCCGCATCCCACTGCTTGATGCGGGCGTCCTTACTTCCCGTGAAGAACATGTGTGTTTTGGGCAGGAACTGCAGGCACATGATGCTGTCCTCATGGGCCAGGATCGACCGGTGACAGTCTCCGAAGTCGAGTCCCCAGATCTTCACGCTGCGGTCCGCCGACCCCGTTGCCAGCAGCGTGCTGTCGTACGAGACGTCCATGCACAGGACAGGGAACTTGTGGCCGTACATGGACAGGAAGAACTTGAGCGTGTCCACGAAGAACACCTTCACGGTGCTGTCCATGAGTGACACCGCGAGAAGCTTGCCATTGGGCGTGAGCCTGACGCAGAGCACGTCCTCGGCCATCTGCAAGGTCCTCGTGTGGACGAGCGTCAAGGCCTTTGCGCCTTCTTTCTCAACAAGGTCAAGGTCCCAGAACTTGACGGTCTTGTCGCCACTTCCTGAGACGAGTCCTTTCTTGTCTGGGTAAGTGTCAAGGGACCAGGTGGGTCCTTCGTGAGCCTCGATGTCGCTCAAAAGGGCTTTGGCCCCAATGTCAAAGAGCTGCAGCTTTCCCGTCTTGGTGCCGACGACGCAGTGGCGGTCGCCCGGCAGGAAACTGGAACACAATGCGTACTCACACTCCATGCTCCGGAGACACTGCTGACTGGTGCGGCTCCACACTTTGACGGATTCTCCGCTTGCCGTGAGGATAGCCGTGTTGTCCGAGCTAAAACACAACGTCCTAATGTCGGTCCTGTGTCCCGCATGCTGAACACAATCCGCAAGCGCTGGCACGCTCGTTTTGTCCGTCACATTGAGGACGTGGAACTCGACCTGGTTGTTCTTCAAGGCGACAGCTACCTTTGCCAGCCCGTTGTTCGCAGAGCGAATGTCGATGGCGCAGGGCTTACCGCTGCACTTGAACGACTGCAACCGTTCGATGGTATCTCCAATAGTTGCCACGGCCCGTACCTCCTCTTGGGGCTCGTCCTCAGTTACCGTCTGGAGACGTTTCTTCCGCTCCTTGCGCTCCCGCTTCTGCAGCTTCTTCTTCACCTCGTCTTCGGTGTTCAACTTGAAGACCTCGACGAGGGAGTCCGTCCCGTGGCAGAGTATGGCCTTCTCGGTCGGGTCCGCCACCAGTGAGCAGATCCTTCCCCTACCCTCCCTCATGATGCTTCCAAACTTAGTGCAAGTCAGGGGACAGCTTTCATCCTCGTCTTCGTCGTCACTGTCCTTTCCGTCAGTCTCTTCCGGCCCGACCTTGCTCTTCTTAGCCTCCGCGTCCACTGCGGCTCCCGCGGCATCCTTGTCCGCGATCTGCCAGACTCTGAGCTCGCTGTCCGCGCTGCCGGTCACTAACCACGAGTCCCCCTTGACGAGCACAAAGTCCCAGACCTCGCTGCGGTGCCCCACGAGCGTCTTGAAGCAGTGCTGTGTCGCCAGGTCCCAAAACTTGACGAACGTGTCCTTGGAACTGGACACCAGAATGTCCCTGTCCCTCATGAAGCGGCACCTGGTCACCACTCCCTTGTGGCCCTTCAGCCTGAACACACCGGCTTCGCTGACCACATCCCACAGGATGATGACAGAGTCCTTGCCTCCAGACGCCAGGCGGCCCTTGTCAAAATCGAGGCTCGTCACGGCGGCCTTGTGGCCCTGGAAGGTGATGATGGCTTCGGCCTGGTTGATGTCGAAGACTCTGACCGCGCCGTCAGCATAGCCAACGGCGAGCTGGCGGTGATCTGGGCTGCTCGTCAGGCACGTCGCCGAGTGCTTTTCGCCGCGGAACGTGTTGACGGACTGCTTCGTTCTCGTGTCCCAGAGCAGCACGTTTTCGCACGCAGTGACGGCGTAGTATCTTGAAGCTACGTTCTGGTAGTTGAGGTAGGTGATCTGAGCGTCGGCGCTCGCCAGGACTCCGAAGACCGGTCCGCTGCGGTACCGCAGGTACTGGTGCGTCAGTCCCATTCTCGGTTGGAGAAAGTCACGGGTGATGAGGAATGTTACTTGCTCCTAGCCTAACATTCTGGGGCGGGAAGTTGAGAAGAAGGACCAGCAGCAGCACTTCGAAAGAGCCAAGTTTACCGACAGGTCCATGTGCTCCAGCATGCTCCACGCTAGAACCTGACAGATGGCAGCACGGCAGCACTTCATGATATTCATGATAAGTCATGATTGTAAACGCTAACCCCTTTATTCACATATTATCAATAAATACAATTCAGATTAAAGTGCACATAAGAATGCTTCACAAAATTGCTAAGTACTGCTACGCGTTGTTGCGATCCTGGCGGTTGGGTGCACAAGCGTTGCAAAGAACGCAAACGAGGCTAAATACGACAAATACGAGGCCAGCGAGGGCAGGTGTCGCTGTCGTCGCGGCGTCACAACTCGTAATTATTTGAGCTTCTGTTGACTAGCCGACTGCAGTCTGCTGAGTCTGCTACAGCAGAACAGGTGTCTGCTGCTTACAGCTGTATTGGTTAATCACTGCCGCCAGGGTCGCGACAAACGGTTGCGTTATACAATCATGACGTCATTAGCTGGAAATCGAAGGGAAAAATATAAACACGGTGTCACCAACCCAACGCACAAAGCCCTCTCTAGACCTATACGCTCTCCCCAGCTCTCCCTTTTCCGGCGTTTCCTGTGCTGCATCAAAAACACGATGAAAAACAAATCTGCACATCTGTCATCTCAGTTGTCTGTTTTCTCCGGTGACACCTGACTGCTGCGAAAGACAAGAATAAAAGTATAAATTAATAGGACAAAGTATTGTCACGAGCAGGTAGGCGGAGCTGCTGTAGCTATGCCTCCTTTTTTTTTTTTCCCCATCTTCCTTATTTGTTGTTTTTACTTGGCTCTTTGTTATTTCATCAAGTTGCTGAAGCATCGCCGTTGTGCGATGCGGGGAAGCCTTCTGCTGATACGGCCGATACGGGCCGCGCGCGTTGGCTGGGGGCGGTGGGAAGCCGCCGCAAGATCAAAGTCCGTCTAGCCGGTGGCCGCTTGGACGGAGGAGCACCCGAAGCATGGTACGTAGATTGACTTTAAACACTCGGCCAGGGCTTTCGCTTCGCAGCAATCGGCGTCGACATTTCGATGCAAGTCCGGGGAAGTCAGCTGTAGTCCTCTATTTTCGTGGTGTCCTCGTATCGATTGTGGAGTCGCTGTTGTGGGCCAAACCTCGCACCCTTTCTAAATAATGATTCTTGGGGCACGCGCTTGGTTGCGTTCTGCGTTTGGGGAGAGCTATTTTGGACCCTAATGAGGAACGCTTTCGGTTTGATTAGTGATGGTCACAAACGAGAAGCAAAAACGTAGACAGTAACCGGAGCTGGCTAACGGACTGCTCGTCAGAAAATTCCCATATCTTTCGTGCTCTTTTTTTTTTTTATCTTTGAAATCGTGCGATGGTAAGATAGACGTTTAGTTGCTCAACGGAGGTATGTTCTTTAAATTAGCTGAAACACACAACAAACTAGCGTACGTCGTGGTGATTATCTTTCCTCTTAACTTTTGCGTTTTGGATTGCATAGTTTTGAAGTGTCCTGAGTAATCTCTTTTGGAGAATCTTTTCAGTAGTCCGCGCATAGGCACATGCAAGTTGTTTTGACCCATTCACATATGCACACTGGACCAAATGTGGCGTCACGAATTGGTTTCTCAACGTTCAGCCGGCTGATTGTAGTGACGTGCCGCGCATTCCCGGCTGCTGATTGGTCAGTGTAGCCGGAGGACGCGATCGCGCAATAGTTTTCACTGATGCGATTTTGTCCCCCCTCCCTCCCCCCTTCTTGAGTTGTTCAGCTATTTAGCGTGTGCCGAAGACGAGCATTCCAAGAATTTATAGGGCAACTTAAATGTGGAGAGAACAGAAGCTTATAAATCTTACCATGCTGACATCTCCTCAACAGGTTGCAATGTAACCCTTCATATAAGTAAATTTGTTTGAAAAAAACAAACAACAACAAAATGGCGGAGGACGTCATGTGAAAACGCCCTATTGGTGGAGCTATAGCAGTTCTGCTTTTCACGCTATGGTGCTACTCTGCACAAAACTCTTGGCAGCTTGGTTGCTTGGAGACTTGAAAGAAACCCATCGCTGGTAACTTCACGCTTCGACACCCAATGACATTGAAGCTACGCGTGATACGAGGCAGCAACCTTTTCTGGAGCACACAGCTCTTATTTATCGTTTTCTTTTAGTTCATTCCTTTAACAATAGGTGCACGGTGTCGTTGATTGAGCCCAAGGACATAGTCGTTGACAGGCCCAAATCGTCACCCGTTTGATGCGTACACAATAAACCTCAGAAAGTGCAAAGTGCCACCAATTGGGCTCTTGTTCGGTTTTGTTTTGTGCAGGAGTTTGAAGCGAGTTGCCAGAAGCCATTTCGGCTACTCTTACGCCATTTGCCTAGAGCTTGCAGGCTTCTCGTAGGGTTTTGATAGGTGCTGTGTCATACCTTGCATTGCTGAGTGTCACTTTCTCTTCACATTGTTTTAATCTTTCATAAAAAAAAACATTAAAAAAAATTTTTTTGTTTATCTAAGGATTTGGTTGTGGTCCTTCCATTTCAACATCTTTTAAAAACATGCTCTCTTTTCTTTTTTTTTTTTCTTTTTTTCAGGTATTAGTTTTTGTAATATTGAGTAAATGAAATGCGAGCAGCAGTGCACGTGGCCTCCGATACGTGCTGCGTAACCTAGAGGCAACTAGGAACTGATAAAGCTTGAGCAGAGAGGAGGGGGGAGGGGACTGCGAAGGTGTGCGTCTGCATCGATGTACGCACCTTCATAGCCTCCTCTCTCCACTCCTCAGTTTTATCAGTTACTAGTTGCCTCTAGGTTGCGCAGCATCTGACGGAGGACACATGCTCCGCTGTTCACTTTTCATTATACCCAATAGTACAAACTTGAATGGGCAAGGTTCAAAAATATCAGTGTTGGCTAAAGTACGTCTAAAAAGTACTTGAAGTAAGCTAATTAGAGGCTATGTACTTCAAGTAAAAGACTAGGTATACTGGGCACAATGTACTCAAAGTAAGGTACTAAAATACAATGCACTTTCAAAGTAAAGTACTTTTTAACACAATCTTTCATGATGCGCTTTCATTCCCCTATAGGCTCCTTGCACTGACGTCACATTGCACACTTTTGATTACCATGTAAAACGAGGAGAGGGAAGTTGCTTTTGTAACAATTTTGAGTGACAGGTTAATCTGGGAGGAGTATAGCGATGGGTATGTGCATATCCGGGAGGCACAAAGGAGGATCCTGATATGAGGGGAGCTCCCTCTTCCCCTTTTCTCTGGAGGTCATCGGAGCGCTCTTTCAATGACGTCCATGTGCAAGCCACGTGTAGACCGTTTTTTTTTTTTTCGTGGTGGCTGCCACGTTGATTTTTGACGTAGCCGAGTTGGGGGAATACAGAAAATCTCTTTATTTACCAACTGGAAGGTGCTAGAATTCAAGGGGTGCGCACCAATAGTCCTACTTCTTTCTTGGCTGTACTTTTTTTTTTTTCAGTTATGCTGAAACTATTTACTACTTTAGTTTTTGTCTCCTAGCCGAACTGTGTCGTATTTCAAGATGGTGACTGTAACACGAAAACGGTTTATACATTGTGTTTCTTTCTTAACCGGTATACATTGCCCCAGAGGCAATCAGGGGTGCATCAGTTATTTTTAGGGAAGGGTGACGAACATTAGATAAAGCCAAGTGGCCACAGAGTAATTATTTTCAGAAATGGCGCCGAATTCAGAAGTCTTGATTTCTGAATTTGGCACCGCTTGCACTGGTTGCACCCAAGGGGGTTAAACATACCAGGAGAGAGTGTGACGTTAGCCGGTAGCTTCTGCAAGCAATCCTCTCTTGGAAGAATGTCCTCTCCTAGTATTTTTAACCTCCTTGCTTGCTCTGACTGAGTGAAAAGTAGTGACAGTTCAAAATGCTGCTGGAGAGCTGACCCCAGTGCAGACTCAGCGATGCACTGTCTGCTTTCGTTTTTGGTGAGTGTAGCAGATCCCTTCCTGCATTTCCTCAGAGTGTACAAGAATAATTTTGCTATACAAATTTAACAAGATAAAATTTGGGGAATGTACTCTGAAGTCGGGAGTTGTACATCCTTGAAAGTATCAACAAAAAATACTTTACATACTCGGAGAATGTACTTCAAGTAAGGTACAAGTTTTCTAAGCCTACTCTAAGTACATTGTACTCAAGGTACTTCTCAACACTGAAAAATGTCCAGTATATTTTATAGTATGTGACACTGAGTACTCGGCACGTGTCGGCTTGTTTTAGTCGAGTTTGAATAACCTAGAAGCTGTCACCAACATTCTTGCTTTTGGTTTTTATTTGTTGAAGTCAGCGCTGCAATCTCAACGTGTGCACATGTGCATTGCTAGCAGTTCGTAGAGAGTATCGCCATTGTTTGCGTATTTCTGACGCACGACCGAACACATGCGTCAGACTTTTTATTTGCGTAGTGGACGCTTTTGTCTTGTCTTACGAAGGACGGATCCATGGCTACACTGGCCGTACTTCACTTTCGAGGTAGGAAATTATTTTTGTACCTTAACAGTAGTTTGTCACTTTACAACGACATAACTGCCCGAATGAGGGCAGGTCGCTTTGATGCATCTTATATACTGGGCCATACACTATATTCTGTTTTACTACAGATACGAGTGAAGCCAGTGCAACAAGCACGAGCGTGTCGTCTTGAAGGATATCTTCACTTTGCGAGGGCATGGGCATAGCTGACCTGCTCAAAGCGTTGTGCTTGCTCTTGTAGCTTTTCCTTTGCTCGCACTTATAGAGGAACAGAGCATTTGTTAACATTTCTTTTTTCTACATTGCTTAAAGCGAGGCTGACGGGGTATTTATGCTCGCTGAGATTGTTATTTGAACATGACCTTTAAGTGCCCAACTACCCGGAACATAATTTGTGGCTCGAAATCAGTTTTCTTTTCACCCAAAAACAGCCGGTCGAGAATTGGCCAGTTTCAGTTGTACTCACTCTCTTTTTTATGGTCATGTGGTGTTCGAGCCATGTGTACGAAATATATTAAAAGTTGTGGGTCATCTAGGGCACACATTCAATATTAAAAATAGAAAAGAATGTGAACCTTATTTTTGTGACCTCCAAAAAACTGCAAATATACGTGGTTTTAAAAAAAAAATTTTTTGCACAGATCACAGAAAGTACATGCACAGCCTCAAGATTTTTTAATAATGTCGCGCGAACACCAACCGGTAGATAGATCAGCGCCTATCGTGGCTTAAAACGGCAAATCAGCGAGGCAAGGTGTGGGCCTTCTGCCACACACGCATAGTCTCATTGACCTGCTCTTTCACGCCACGATAAGGCTCTGATCTACCCGCCAATCGGGGTTTGCGCGATATTGTTAAAAAATCTGGAGGCTGTGCACGCCATTCTCAATATGGCAACATACCGTGGGCTGGTGGCACACGACGAACCAACTTTGCAACAGACGCGGGGCGACTACTCTGGAACTGTCGTTGATGGTAACGGCCAATCAATCTTCAAACGCAGAACATTGAGCGGAAGAAATAGTAAGTGCGAAAACAATTGCACGACAAACAATGCATGCAACTTCGTCATCTGCTTCTCACTTCTGAGAAGCGGAGGAAAAAAAAAATGTGGTTGGGTGTAGCCACGTGACTTCCGGTGCTTGTGCTTTCGCTTCGGTTTTGAGCAGTTGACATTTGTGACTTTATTAAAAATATGATTCTACAGCAAAATATTGGCTGGGTAGTCTCCTGGTGAACAATGCAAAGAGATGTTTTTGGGGGTGTTTGTGCCCCTTTAACACGCTTTATCAGGTGCTGTACTTATACCACCAACGAAAACCTGCTGCAAATACGCCATGTTTTTGTGTGTTCCTCACATAAGTTACTAACCTCAATACCGATAATCCTCTACAGTCTTGGTTTGTTGCACCTCAGCTTCCTTCTTTTGTGAGGGCAGGCACAAACACAACATCGGGGTACCAGCTGCAAGCGAG